AAGAAGGCGTTGCCCTCTTCCAGCAGGTTGCACACCAAGCGGGTCAAAAAGTCCTGAGGGAGAAAGACGAGGAAAAGATGCACAAAAGCCCCTTTATTTACCGAGTCCTGGCACACGATACGTGTCATCCATTTGGAGGAATTTTAAATATTACAGAACAACATGTGTTGATTTTTTTGTATGTGTTGATTTATTTGATGATAGAGTCTGTTTTGAATCACCACCTTAACAATACATATTGAGCAGCTGGGAACTAAGGAAACCAGTTCCTCAATGTGATTTCAGCACAACAAAGGTTTGGTGCTTTTTTTAGTTGCTTTTCTGTGTTTATGCAATGAAGCTAATGCTTGAGCGACCGGGCCTGCAGCCGGGCCCACTTGTAACGCGAATGGGTTTCAATCCAAGGCTAAAGTGTGGCAGCACAGACTCTGGACTGGCATTGCATTACTCAAATAAGTCAGATATTTCACAAAAAAAAGTCCTCTGGACTGCAGCATGCGCTTCTCCTAAACTTGTGTAAACCCCAAATTGAACGGTGCATTCACAGACCTGCCGGTGACTTGCACCATCTGCAGCAGTGCAGAACCAAACCATTGAATATCACAGGTTTCTGAATTGCTTCCTGACTGTATTGTGCCAAATGTACGGCAGGGTTTCCCCCAGAAATCTTGCTGACCCTGGTGGTAGGGGCGCCTGGGCATCCCACCATGTTCATTGAGATAAAAGATGTTTAAAATTGACAAGATATTTGAAAATATCACTAAGTAATTATGGAAGAGATGGATAATATCTAAACTAAATATTTTTAAACATTTAAAATACCTAAAATAAATAAAGAAGCCATGTTTATCCTGGTGGGAGTGCAAATAAAGCCTGGTGGCTTGCCAGGTTTATAATACACTGGGGGAAACTCTGAAAAGTTTAGTGTATGTCTAGATGCTTGACATCTCCCCATATTCACTGTAAACTAAAAACATGATGTGCTTTCCAGTCCTATAGTGCCATTTCATAGCATAATCAAGTAACTCTGTTACCTTCAGTTGATTTAAAACGATATCAAATGTGACTTTAAAAAAATAAATGTATTTCTAATTTAATGCCTTGAAATTGATAAGGGAATAACATTATAACATGACGGAAGGCTAAAAAAAAGTCAATTTAACACAATATTGCCCCTCTAAGGCCTTCGCAGAACAGCTGTTTTGTGAGCAATTACACCTTCGCTCACTGCTAAAGCCAATTTCTTGCCCTTGATCTTATGTGAATGCACCAGTGTAGTAAGGACTTTTGGTAATGTGCAAGAGGACCGGCCGAGAAAAAGAGACAGGTTTCTTATGTGGACTTCAGATGCATTAGCAGACATACAGAAGCCAGGCATGCGATAACACAAACTTTGAGTTGAGAAAGTATGTTGACCAGAACCCTACAAACGGGGATTTTATTACAATTGACAACTGACTGAGGCTGCCGTCTTGTCGTAAAGCATTTGCTGCTCAACCACAGTCACTAAGAGGAGACTGACAGGAAGACCTCACACCAGATCAAAAGGGACTGAACACAACCGACAGTCCATTTCCTCCTACCTCACAAGTTAGTGCAACTCTGTGATCAGTGTTTGCGATCCAAACAAAATGTCATAAACTTCTGGTAGTTCTTGACACTTTTGCAAGACACTGTGTAACACCATCAGCACTGAGAAGGATGTATGTCAGCAACAACATGTGAAAACAACAGTAAAAACACACACACGCGCGTTAGATTAAATGACTACAGTCACTACCTGGTACCCTGCAGGATCTGGATAAGCCAAAGGAGACCTAAAACACAAGACACAAACTCAATCAGAAGCGCTTAAACATCTTATCTGACAAGGATGCATGTCAAGGCTAGTTTCGTTTTCCGTAACAGCGCCCTTGTACCGACATATAAAAACAATGTACTCACTGTATGAAAGCCAGAGCCCTGCTTATCTCTTCCTTTCGTTTCTCTCGGGTTGACTCCATGGTGGTCCACTCCACAGAAACAGAGAACCCCCAGCTAGTCAGGGAGGGTGGCGTACTCTGAGTCTACATTTGTTTATACTGTTACTTTTTCCCCCCCCCACCAAAACGTCACTGTTATGAATGCCAACTTCCGCAAGACACACCTACCCGATAAAGTGGGGAAGTTCACTGAGCCCAAGCAAAGTTTAAAGGCAGTTCATGGTGGCAGGAAGAGGCAGGAACGGCGAGCAGCGGCTGTGAATTTGAGCTAATGCGCTACGAGGCCGAGAAGGCAGGAAGGACGAGCCTCCGAGTCCGACCGAACCTCTCTCTCTCTTTCTCTTTCTCTTTCTCTCTCTCTCTCTCTCTCTCTCTCTCCGCGGTCTCCGGTAAGTTTCGATTCTCAGCTACCAGCCACACGCGCGTGAGAGCTGTCACGTGACCACAGCGAGCCCGTCGACTCGGCTTGTGACGTCACGTGATAACCGCTCTTAAAAAAAAATCGGAGAAAGTTACGATTTTACCCGATGTCCCCGAAAGCAACACTTTTGTTTTTAACGGGCTTCTACACAAAACCGAGAAGAAAAGTAACTTTTGATTTTCTTTCCATCGTTCAAAAAAAAAAAAAAAAAAAAAAAAAGCCTAAAATCACTTTTAGCAAAATAAATGATGATAGAAAATATTTAGGCTATTATTTTAGGAACAATTTTTAAAGTAATAACTGCGTATTTGAATCATCTGGAAAGAAATGACTGTGGTTGGTTTTGAAATACTGAATGGTAATTACGCCTATTGATGTAATGTGGTTAGAAACTTAAAAAACAAATTTAAAAAAAACTGAAACAACACTATGTTCAATAAATGTATACTTTGTAATCCTGTAATCAAGCTTTATGCATATACATTGCATTAGTTCAGTTTGTTGTGGTTGTAAAATGGACCTTGTCCAAAAGCTGAGCTACTGAAGACAAAAACTTCTCTCGCTCCAGATGATGCCCTTCGCTTAAAAGGTCATTTTCTTTTCCACAGGGTTTCATTTAAGAACTTTTTACCAAAGTGTTTAATCGGCTGAGCTTGACTACGTTGTTTTATAACCAGGATTAAAATGGAATGTATAGTTGACTTTTGAATTCTTGCAGTGTTTGACCACACAGGAGAACATCAGGTCAAGGGTCAAAACACATTAAGTCTGAAAATCAAGTCTAATCTCTGATTTCCAAATGCATAAGCAGACAATACGGCGCCAAGACCCAAAAGAAGACGTGAATGTGAAAAATATGCATGTGTTGACTTTGGGGAATATGTGTATAAAAGGGACGTAGTTCAGAGATCAGGGGTGCTGACTTAGGCTGCAGTATTGTAATACAACTTTGCTGTTTAACCATAGTCTGTAGCATGTAGAGTCTTTTTCCTGCAACAACACCACACCAGCATCAAGAGGAGACTGAAGGAAGACCCCACCTTCTCTTTACGGATTAAATAGACTGTATAATTATGCGTCAGCTGAGTCTGATTGCCTTAATATGAGATGTTGTTGTGAATCGGTTCTGATCAGAATTGCACGGAGATTAATTAACTTGTGGTTAAACAGAGAAGCTTGTAGTTGGATTGCCTGAGGTGGTAATGACTCCCTGTGGAACTCCCTGTGGTGGAATAGGCATCCTATGATTTGCTGCTCTCAATATAATTGGTTAATGTGTTAGGTTTTTATCAGGTGAAGCACTTGGAACTTGTTGCTAAAATGCGTTGTGCAAATCAACTTGACTTGGCTTGAGAGGCCAGCAGATTGTACAGAGAGGAATGTACAACATTGACCTTGGACAGCATTTGACTAGCCTAAATACTGCAGTTTCTCAGCTCTCCAAATACCAAACATACCATAGATTTTGAATTAGAAATCTACCGGCGTAGTCCTGAAATTAAACATGTAAATGGCTAATAAGATAAATATATATTTGCTGAATTGAAAAAAAATCCATGTAAAATATCCCAATCCAGACATATGTTAGGATTGAGATATAATTAAATGTTTGACTCAATTAATTTTTATTAAGATACATTAAATTTACTCCCTGACTCCATGAATGTTGCCTGTCTCTGATTCTTTCTTATGTTTTTATACGTTTTTAATAAAAACTTTACCAATCTTTGCTTTGATTCTACATCTATATTGACTGGTTCATGTATAATAACTTAGTATTACAGCACAAATTATTTGATGTAATTGAATCCTAACCTCAGATTAACCATCCATTTGAATTCCTTTACATATTGTTGTTTAGAAACGTAGAAATAAATACGAAAACTTGGAGATGTTACGTCGACACCATTTTGACTCTTCCACTTGTGAAAGTTATTTCATTTCCACCAGGAAGCACAATTTCTCTTCACACACAGCTTTAATAACAGACAGATACTAAAAAGATTAGTTCCAGGCAATACTTACTTTATTGATCATCATTGCAACTTTTTAACTGTTGAAATGCATAAACTGAGCAGTACAACATAGTTAAATGCAGTAATTAAGGCAATAACTTTATCAGCAGTAAATCTATCTTTGAAAGGTCTGTAGACCTTAAATAATTATTCAAAGCAACCTTTTTATGTATATATTTTAATAATATTTTTTTCATTATCTATATTATATATTTTCCTCCTGCTGGAAATGTACAGTGATATTGCATTCCCATTCATCTTCGTGTATGTTTGAATAAACTGCTGTAACTCTTTCCAGAAATAATCGACGACTTACGTTTGTAGTCCCAATGGAACTACAAGTCCCGTGATTCCTCGTCCGGCGGTCGTCAAGCGGTTTGGTGTGGCGATGCTTTGGTTAAACGAGCGGGAGTGTGTAGCTGGTCAGGATTCAATCGTAAAGGGAGTGTGTAACGGCGACGTAAGTTCGTCCCTTTTCTTTTTTTTTCTTTTTTTTATTGAAATATCCTAATTTGTTACATAAAGCTTTGGGGAGATTAAGCTTAAGCCGTAAACCAACGGCAACGAACGTTATGTTGCTACATGAAAAGGCCGAGTCACAGACATACCGTTCTCGTGCGAAACGCACCAGTGCTAGCTAGCAAACTTAAGTTCTCCACGTTGTAAACCAACGACTCTAGAGTAAAGTATACGTTCATTCTGGTTCTACGTAAATCCGTCGCTTGGGGTTTTTGACTTATGCAACGAGCAGGTAACGTGTTGCTGAGTCGGCAGTTGTCGGGTCAACGGACACGAAGCAGTTCGGTCCCTGTCAGTGTTAGCAGAGAGTTAGCAGCCGCAGGTTTATTCTACAAGCCGGTTGTTTGAAGTTGGACAGGTCACCTTTAAAACAACCTTACAAGATAATAAACGCAAAACCGAGGCCGAAAAGTTGTCTTTATTCTGTCTTAAAGGGAATATTATGGTGTCGCTTAAAAAATAAGTTATTGTGGAAGCTAAGGTAAACGTATCGATACATTCTTATCCTTTTCTCTTCAGTGTAAGGGTGAATACATTAGAGTTTAACTTGAGACGGATAAAAAAAAAAGTGAACAATGCCTTTGGTCCTCAGGCATCTCTCCATGGCGACAGACATTGTTGCAGAGTTGGCCGACTCTCTGGCCAAGACTGGGGTCGAGGATGGAGAGTTGAGCTACAAAGGCCAGGGCAGGAAGCTGGATGATGCCCAGTCAGGTACGTGACGTCAGCAGACCATTGTACACACTCAGTGAGGCAAATCCTCATTTTATTGGTAGTATTGCATTTAAAACATTATTCTAACTTCAAGTTATTTATGTTTGTTTTACTCTGGTGTCTTAATTGCTCCTATTCAGTAATTTGGACGTTTCCGGCTCAATTAAAACAGATGTCAGATGTGAAGATTAAAGGCAAAAGTCTCATCCTAGTAGTTGTTGGCAATCAAAATATTGCGACGATAGTTGGATTGTGCAGCTCTCGGGGTTTTACCCCTGAAAACTTGCTAAGCCTGGTAGTTGGGGAGCTCAGCAACCATTCATCCAGCGGCCCGTCGTGTTCTTGAATGAAATTTTTTTGAAAAGTTGACAGGAAATTTTAACATATCACTTTATAATCATGTGTTATTGGAAGATTGGAGGATTAATGTCTGAAAACCAGCTATAAAGTCTTAGAAAATGCAAACATTTTTTAACAATTTTAAATAAGCAATGCTTAGCCTGGCGGGGACACAAGTAAAGCCTGGAGGCCCGCTAGCCTTATAATACACTGTGGGAAACCCTAAAGCTCTAGTTCTTACCGTTGCTACTTCTAAACCTGACACTGCTTATCCGTTTCACAGCGGAGGAGATCGTGAAGGACATCGAGGAGTTTGAGGGTTTGCAGGCTCTCAGGATGGAGGGAAACACTGTTGGCGTCGAGGCAGCGCAAGCCATTGCCAAAGCGCTTGAGACAAAGAGCGACTTCAAGGTTCTGAGTTTGATACTTTTGTCATCAGTGTAGTTTGGTCCAAATATTGTAAACCAACTCCATCTTTGTCTTGACCCACATTTTTTTTGGTGTCGTTATAATTGTAAATATGTCAACCAGAAACCACAACTGGCGATAAAAACTAGCAATACTTAATAACAGTTTTTCGTCTATAAATGCATTAACCAATAGCATGCAGCTTGACGCTCTATGTTGAGTTTAAGCCAAATCAGATTGAAATTAAGGAGATGGTTTGATTCTGAAATGGGACCAATTGTTCAGTTCCTCCATGTTTGTCTTTAATTCAAAGCTAATACCTCAATCTAAGAAAATGAAATGCATGTTTTTTTTTGTTCTACATTTTTTCTGTTTTGAAATGAAAAATTAGAATTAGAACTGACCAGTGTATCTGTAGATATTGTATCTATGTCTCAGGTACCTCCTCTATAGTTTGATAAGTAACTTTGGAAGACTACCTCTTATGTTTTTCAAAAAAGTAACATTGCTTACATGTGTTTTCTCACAATCAGCGCTGTTACTGGAGTGACATGTTTACTGGTCGCCTGCGCTCCGAGATCCCGCCTGCCTTGGTAAAACACTATCAATGACACCTTTATAAATCTGTGTTTACGTGACACACACTCTTTAGCTGGGTTGTTTTAGTGCGCCATCTCATTCTACAGTCAGGTTTTGTGTTTTTGTGTTACAGAACTCCCTGGGTGATGCCCTGATGCTAGCAGGGGCCCGACTGACGGTTTTAGACCTCAGCGACAACGCGTTTGGGCCAGATGGTGTGAAGGGCATCGAGAAGCTGCTCAAGAGCACCAGCTGCTTCACGTTACAGGAGCTGCGGCTCAACAACTGCGGCATGGGCATCGGAGGCGGAAAGGTAAATCAACAACGGACTATGAGGCAAAAGACTTTTGTTCATTAATCCTTCTTCAATTCTTCTACTATTGTGTACCAAGTTGTGTTTTGAACTCTTCAGATCTTGGCTGCTTCGTTGACCCAGTGTCATAAACAATCCAGTGAGAAAAACGAACCCCTGAGCCTGAAGGTGTTTGTCGCAGGGAGGAACCGCTTGGAGAACGACGGAGCCACCGCCCTCGCTCAAGCTTTCCAGGTGACGATCAAACTGTAGCATTCACAAGGAGAACTTTAGTCAGATAATATTGAATATACTAGTGAGTTATAAAACATAAATGCTTGTCATTTGGATAGGGTGTGACAAAACAGCCACTTTGTTTTGGTCATAAATTGTAACAATACGTATTGTTTCCTATTGTGTTTTTGTTTGTTTTCTAAGCTGATGGGCAGCCTGGAGGAGGTTCACATGCCCCAGAATGGAATCAACCACCCGGGTGTGACGGCTCTGGCCTCCGCCATGCAGCACAACCCAGGGCTCCGGATCCTCAACCTCAACGACAACACCTTCACTGAAAAGGGGGCTGTTGCCATGGCGCAGGTACAGAGACACAAGATATAATAGTAGCAGTATATTTTAAGTATTTTTGTCTCTATCAGAAATCTTTTTTAATGTTTTGTGCAAAAACTGAATTTATTTTCATAAAGTCACCTTCCTAAAGTAATGGGAAGTTATTCCATTGTAGTGACTGCCAAAATAGATTCCCTCTAACCCCCAAGTGCTATCATACCTGCAGTTGGAGTCGTACATTGAACCCTGCAACACTGAGGAACGTTGATATCTTTACTCATTTATCGGCCATAATTATGTAATAAAATTCTCATTCAGATTATTGTTATTGGTGCAACTGAATCAGTTCTACCTGTATTGATATAATGGATATTCTGTCTGTTCTCACAGGCTCTGAAACATCTCCACAGCATCCAGGTGATCAACTTTGGGGACTGTTTAGTGCGGCCTGAAGGCGCTAAAGCTATTGCAGAAAGTGTGTCAGAGGGCTTACCCGTCCTCAAGGTGAGTGATTGGTATACAAGACTGTCACAATTTAGGTTACATAATCTGTTCTGGATTGCACCAACAGTTTGTTTTTCTCGGTTTGTGTCGGTATGAAGGATTGCAGCCTAAGCTGTGGGATTTGATCACCTCTGATTTAAATTAAATTTTACAGGCAATTATTTTACCTTGACTACTTTTTCCTTTTGATTGTTAATTTTTTCTTATTTTGTAAAATGATGAGTTAGCATTGGGTGACATGGCATAAAAATCTCAGATTTTTTTATTTTGTATTTTTTTTCTTCTCTTGCTGTCTTAAAAAAAGAAATTACACATGATCTAAAATATGATTAAATGTGGCTTTTATTTCAATTATTCCTTCTTTGAGATGTACAACAGAATATCTGGGCCAGGCTACAAAAAGTTTTGCTTAATTGCTGGAATATAGTCAAAACATAAGCAAAAAAGAAACATAATTTTTCCAGCAGAAAGTCTGAAAACTGGAAGAAAAGAGTTGTTTAAATTAGATAAAAGCTTCTCGAGTTGTCCAGAACCGACGCGACAGTACGTGCATTTCTCTCTTCAAAACAAACTCAGTCGTTTGTGCAATAATTTTTGCTTTTAACACAAACAATCATTTGTTTGTGTTAAAAGATGAAGCCATCTGTTTGACAGGAGCTCAATATGTCGTACGGTGAGATCACGGCGGACGCAGCTCTGGCGGTGGTCGAGGCTGTGAAGAACAAGGACCAGCTGGAGAAGCTGGACCTGAACGGTACAGATCTGAAAAGCAGCAGCTCAAATCTTTCTGCCTGGTTTTTGATACTTTAAGCTATTTTAAGAAAAGAACGTTTAGTAATTGTTTAAACCATTTTTCAGGGAACTACCTGGGAGAGGACGGCTGCAAAGCCGTGAAAGACGGCATGGAAGGCGCGAACATGATCAACCTGTTAGGATCACTCAGGTGATTGCCTTTATGAGTAATCAATATGTCAATTAATCTTTTGTTCATGTTGATCCCTATTCCATACAAAGAGCCAGTCATACTTGCTGTATCTGGCTTCTTAACTGCCTAATATTTGGATCTTTGGATCGTTTCTCAGTGACGACGAGGGTGAGCCTGATGACGATGAGGACGAGGATGAAGAAGATAACGATGAGGATGATGACGAGGACGATGTAGATGAGGAGGAAATTGAAGAGGAGGAGGAGGAAGAAGAGGAGGAGAACAGCAGCAGCATCAACAACGAGGTTAGTTGCGACTAAACTTCAATATCCAGAAATGTCGGCCACAGGAAATGATCAGAAATCACAATAAATGCACTAGAAATGATAAAATGACCAGCGTCACTGGCCTAAGTTCTACTTTCTTCTCTTTGCCCCCTCATCCAAAGCAATCCACTCCTCTGTCAGCACCGCGACCACCAGATGTCTCTTCTTTCCTCAGCTTCCCGTCTCCTGACAAACTGCTGAAACTTGGCTCCAAGAGAGCGTTGCTAGTCCAGCAGCAGGTGAGCAAACGCAGAAATATACGTATGACACAAGGTGCTGGCACATCCTTATAAAGTCTCTAATCAAGTAATAATTTAAAACTAAAGCCTCAAAATGTCTTAAATGTCTTAGAGATAGGTCTTAAATTTCATTTATAATAGTCTTAAAAGGTCTTAAATTTTAATTGCTGAAGCACTTGCTTGCACACAACCATCCTTATCTTTTTATATCCATATTGCTTATTTTAAAACTTGATGCCGCTGAAGAATATCCCCTTCACATCAACTAGCTCACATGTGAACCAGTGCAGCAGAATCAGCGCAACAGCAGTAAGATTACTTAATCGCATGTAACACTTTAAAAACGCTTCACTCACCTGGGCATGCTGGACTATTGAACTGATGACACCTGATCTGCTTTCTGTTCGATGAGGCCAATCGTGACCACTCGGAGGCGCTCAAACACACTATTCGGAGCTGGAAAAAAGCGACACAAATGGAGACAAAACAGAACTTAATGTTTTCGAAGTTCATTTCGTTTCCTTCGCTTAGACAGACAGAACTCTTGTTTTTCAGTACATCAGCACACATCACATGATAGGAAACGGTGTGAGAGCAGCTTTAGAAATAATGCAACACAAGCAGAAGTTTTTAACGCTCCTTGGTGTCGGTGAAGCAGGTTCTTTGTTTCAGGGTTTCCGTGCAGTTTGGAAAAGTCTGGAGTCAAATTAGACCTTTTTTTTTTCTTCTTGGGTTTAGCTTTTTAAGGCAGGAAATAGAACATTTTTTTGTTTTTGCATTGATATTTCTATTGCATTCCTTAGATGTTTTTTGGCACATTACACCACGATTTTAAGTATTAAAAAAATCCATATGGACTCATTCAAAGGTTAAAAAGAACTATTTCACTATTTTTCAGGCCAAAGTTGGGTTTAGTTTGACCTGCCGTCCTTACACTGGATTAAACAAAGCAATAAAGCTGCTATATTTCTTACCTTTCCAAACAAAATAAAGAGACCAGACTGCACAAAAAGTGCTACAGATTGGTGTCTCAAAATCACTTTTAGTTGTTTCCCTGTCCAGGTGGATGTGACGGATGCAAGAAAAACAGCTGAAGCCTTCCTGAAGATCACCTCGGTGTATAAAGAGGAGAACAACGACGTCAAGAATGCAGTGCTGGACACAATCGGTAAGATGCACGACTTTTATTTGGGGTGACTGGTTTCTGCTCTCGTTTTCTTTATTTTGTGACCTTGTGAATCATTAACCTGTTAATCTGTAAACTTTATGTTTTTAATGCCCTCATTTTTAATACACATTTACACCGAAGAAGAACAAAACCTCACATTTGCTTTCCTAAATATTCAGGTCATATTCTTATTCACATTTTTGTGTGACTGAGAGCTCTAGTGCAAAAACAATCGTCACTAAAACTTGACTAAGACTTGTGCATTGTGTTGGATCACATGTGATACTATTTTATTCTCAAAAGATTTTCACCTTCTTCTAGAAACAGATTGTCAGGATGATTTGTGTTTTCACATTTTTCTTTTGTGATTGACTTTTTCCACACTTGATGGAGCTGAATACAAAAGAGGATTTAAAACAACCCAATTTGGTTTTTTGCTCATGGTTTCTGATTTGAGGTGTGTTTTTTTTGTTTAGTTTTAATTGAAGAAATCCCTATATTTGTCGCCCCCTCTTCCCAGATGCCCTCCTGAGTAAAGCTTTCAGCACTCCCTCCTTTGAAGGCTACAACTTCGTATCCAATTTGTTAGTGCTCCTAGGACTTATTAAGGTAAGCTGTAAGACAAAGTCAACACATCTGGTTTTGTTTTCTCCAAATTCGACGCTTCACATCTGCGTCGCCATCTGTGCCGAATTAATCCGCCTGCCGTCGTGTCCTCTGCTCTGCGTCACTCAGAGCGAGGACAAGATCAAGCCCGTGGTCGTCGTCCCGGGCCACCTCCACGCCCTGGAGCACGTCGTTCGGCAGGAATACTTCCCCAAAGAGAACGTGGCTGTGCTCGAGGCATTCATGTCCCGGTAAGGGCGTGGTGAATGAGCCAATCAGCATGCGGCTTCCAGGTACAAAATGCAACGATTACTGTCCCCATCTTCAGGGGTGGTGGACACACAAGTGGCTATGAGTTTATGCACCAGGATGGGGATTAAGACACACTTATAATGGAACATATTAAAGAGACAATGTAATGTAAAATTGACTTCTTTTTTTATTCTTTATCATGTAATGTTATTCAATCATCAAAAACAAACCTGAAGTTTTGCTTTGATTCTTCTAGCCATGTTTGAGAAATCCTTTAACCTCCTGTGAAAACCATTCAGCTGTGCAAAACGACTGGATGGACCTAGCCCCGCCTTTTAGAACAGAGCTCCTCCTTGGAGCTGCAGTTTCCAAGCTTCTGAGCTTCCCCTGCACTCAGCTCCTTCAGACTAGCCAGCAGCAATTAGCAAACACCTGGTGGAGCTGTGCATCAGCTGAGCTCATTATAGGAGCTGCTTCTCAGTGCAAAGCTGGTAAAAACGTTGCTAAAGAGTTAATAGAAGAGCTATATTGTGATAACTTCCTGAAGGAGGGCTTTCAGAAAGAGCAGGAGCTTTTAAAGACAGAGGCACTAAGTCAAAATTTTTTAAGACCTATTCTATATAAAACACTTCAGAATTATAACAGTTACTTGATTGTGCTATAAAATGGCACTATGTGCCTGGAAAACACATAATACCGCCCCGTTAACACGTGCAGCACCTTGAAATAATACATAAATACGTCTGCGATCCACCGGAGGAGGAGCTACTTTATAAAAATGGGCTCTTGAGATGTTTAAATTATTGCTTTATACAATTCTGTGCTTCCATCCGCAGCAGCAACAAATCCCTGGAGTCATGTGGAAACGCCAGAAACGGCCTCCAATCTACACTGCAGAGAGTTCGATCTCAGAGCTGAGGCTCACCGACTGAACACTTACTCACTGATGGACCCTTAAAAACCCGCACACAAGAACCCAGACGGCTGCATCTCCGCTCTGGCACAATAATCTACGTCACAGCTGCAGTTCATCTGAAACGTCACTTTGCGTTAACCCTCTCGTTTTGGACTTGACTTGAATGCGTTGGGACTGGAAACGAATCCGTTCTGAATCTCATCAACGACTTCTGCAACCCGGAACATATCTTACAACAAAGACGGGTAACCCGATCGGATCAGATCAATCGGGAGGAGCTCTGACCGAGATCAGTCTGAATCTAGAGCTGCTCTCTGCTTTATCTTTAATAGATAAATTTCATATTCTCTCAGATAGCGTTTACTGATGACACGAATGTGGGGCAAGAAAATGTTAAGATATCGAAGAGCGACGGGTGGCAAATTAAACCAATCAAAGTGCATTTAAAAACCGATATCTTCACTGTATTTTGTAGCCCAGGGTTCTATGTTTTTACATTTGTTTTGCAAAAATAAACCATTTGTTGGATGTCTTGAGTCTTTTGTTTCTAAAACATTCATAAAAAAAAAAAAAAAAAGAAAATCTCTCTACTGACTGTTTATTTTTTCATCCCCATAAAGAGACACTTTTCAAACCAATATGAAGGTGAATGAAGCAAATTGAAACTGATTGTGCTTCTTTCTTGTCTTTGATTTCCTGATATCTTGGCTGGAAATGGGAAGCCAGTCCTTTGCACATTTTCGGACGGGTGTAAGAGGTCAGAGGTCACCCCAAAGGAATTTACCAAAGCCTTGTTTGAACTGCAGGGATAATGGTCTGGATTCCACATCACCAGGCATGGAATGCAAGTAAATCCCCTGTAGAAGATCACTAGATGTTCATATATATTCTCAAGCAGTACTGTGTGGTTGCTGTTGTGTTATAGCTCTACTTCAATTTACTCTGCACCATCGAAACTTTCCTGTAAGTACTTTTTCACGCACTTTGAGCAAGTGAGAATACATTCATAATTCTTAAGCTTGTTCTTCCATGCTCCTGTTTTTTTTCCATTCTTAACTATTTCTGGAAACCAGCTAATTTCAACAATGCAAATATCAGAATGTTCAATTTATTCTGGTGAATTGTGCTATGACTAGGTAATTTTGGTTACTGTACTTTTTTGGAAACATTTAAACTGAATTGCACTGAAATTCCATGGAATGCCACAAAATCCAACTAAAACGTTCAGCTCCTGGTTTGACAGCTTACCACAGTCTAACTACTCCATTCAAAATGTTAAGCTACCTTGAAATGACTCTTGCTTTTTCCATATCTCTTATGGACAGAGATATGGTTTCTCTATAATCGCGATTTAAGCTTAATGCAGATTTTGCCTGTTTTCACCACCATGCCATGGAAGTGATTTCCAGACAAATCTGCTGCTTTGGAATCATCATTCTTAGGTACTCGGCCGGTGCAGATGGGGCTCTTCCGTCCTGCAGTTTTCCTGACCATTTTAACTCTGAGCTCAACCATCAATGCGGGAAAATGTCCCAAACCATGCCGCTGTGATGATGCCAAACGGACAGTGGCCTGTGTCGGCAAAAACTTAACGGAGATTCCCCTGGGAGTAGGTGAGGTGAGGAACTTCAACTGTGTTTACAGTCTGCTGTCTGCTTTTCTTTAAAACTCAGAACGAGAGTGATTGATTTGGTAAATTGGGGCACTAGCCCAGGGTGCCAATTTTTAGGGGGGGGCACACAGACTTTCTATTATTTTTTAAAATTAATTTTCTTCTATGAATGCATGTTTTGCAGCCTTAACCCCATATGTAAGGAGTTATTGTAATCTTTTGGGGTTGCATGAACAAAGAAAATGCTCAAATATTTCAAAATTATGAAGTTGTTGTAATGTTTTTCGGGGGGAGCAACATGGAGCTCCTGGCCAAGGGATGTATTAAACCTACCTGCATCAGTTTATGTACAGAACTACCTATTAATGTACTGTAGATGGGGCACCAAAATGGTTTCCAGCCCAGGGGCACAAACCCTTGTAAATCCGGCCCTGATTGTACTGGTTTAAGCCGTTTGTTAAATATCCTTCCTGTTCAGTCATGAAAAGTTTACTGTCTCTGACGCCTCTTTACCTCTTTTCTATCAATTAGTTTGCCCAACATCCACACAAACCTTTAGCATTCACCTGCTAGTCGATCCATGAATCCACCTGTGGACGTTTTTTTGGTAGTTTTTCGCAGGTTAAATATTTACTTTGACAACTTTAGCTTGGAATTTGATTTGTAGAGGAAGTCTGGTGAGCTCAGCCTCAGAACAAAATGACTCATCGTGCTTCCAGCCGACACTCAAACTGGATCTGAAGAGGAACAACCTCCAGATGTTACCCAGAGGTGCTTTTCTTCACACGCCGCACCTCACCCACCTCAGTCTCCAGCGGTGCGGCGTCGTGATGGTGAAGGAGGGCGCGTTTCGCGGTCTCGGTCGAGTGGTCTACCTGAACCTGGCCTACAACAAAATTGACATCCTTTATCAGGTGAGGTCAGAGGGGAAGGAACCGCATGGTTCCCTCTTGGTCGTTTCTGATGAGGTGGAACTAAAGAACCATCTCTGTCCGTCTCGCAGGAATCCTTTGACGGCCTCTCGGCCTTGAAGGAGCTGCGCCTGGACCACAACCTTATCGAGGAGATCCGGCCTGGAGCCTTCGCGCAGCTCGGCTTTCTCAACACGCTGACCCTCGCCCACAACCACCTGGTTTACATCCCCGACATGGCCTTCCAGGTGCCAGGAGAGGAAAAACTCATCAGGGCGATCGCTGTTGCCGTTTGGGGACGTGATTCCACCGTAACTGGACTTTTCTTTCAGGGCTTGCAGAACACGAAGTGGCTTCGTCTCAGCTTCAACTCCCTGAACAACCTGGCGGCCGAAGCGTTTGCGGGGCTGTTCACGCTCAGACGCCTCAGCCTGGATCACAACGAGCTGCAGTTCTTCCCCACACAGACAATGACAAGGTGACACAAAGTGGTGTGTTTTCATACGCAAACACAACACTGTGTTTCAATAAGCTGGGATCTGAAGGGGCGTCTTTGTGTGAAGTCTACCTTTTGAGCTTCACATCATGTTACAATGTTAATCAGTCACCAATCAAGGCAACGAGTGTTGCCTTGATTCTTTCATGCCTGTTTGAGAAACCCTTTAATCCCCATGCCAACCATTCAGCTGTGCAAAACACCTGGGAGGACCTAGCCCCGCCCTCGAGGCACAGCTGATCATCCATTTTATAAGCTTCCCAGTTTCCGCCTCAAAGAGCGGGCCTCCACTATGATTCCCCCACTCGGCTCCTTCAGACTAGCCAGCAGCAATTAGCAACCGCCTGGTGGAACTGTGGATCAGCTGAGTTCGTTATATGAGCTGCTTCTCAGTGAAACGCAGGTTAATGGAGGAGCTATGCTGTGACGACCTCCTGGAGGCGGGGTTTCCGAAAGTGTAGGAGTTTCTTAAAGAGGCACAGACCCAATTTCAAGGCGGTAAATTACAAAGTCATCTTTCTTTAAAGGTATATTTGATACTTACAGCATTTTTACAACAACTTAAGGTTGCCCGGAAAACACAATACTGCCCCTTTAAAACTACATAACCAAAATTTTACATTCAATCCCTCTTTAATGTTTACTTGATTTTATTACCATTTAATGACTTAATTGCTATGTGGAAGGAAAATGATTCACATCACCATCACATCACTTTCTTTTACAAATAAAGAGGGCTTTGTGTTTGTATTTTGCCCCCTTAACTGTGACGTTACCTGTAAATAAATCAGCATAAATCCATCTGCTCTGTGACGGCTTCAGAACATCGATGGTGTTTGTTCTTCTTCATTTTAATGACAAAAATTCAAATGAAGTTTGATCTCTTTGGGAAACCAATTAAATATTGGTAAACAAGAGGCTTCTGTCGATCTGCTTTTGACGTTTTTAAAGTATTTTAAAGTGAACTTTTTTAGTTTAGATTTTGCGACCGACTGACACCAGATTTGTTCGTCCTTCTTAAGGCTCCCTGAAGTCAAACGGCTGGAGTTGAGCTATAACCCCATGACCTACCTGGAGGAAGAATCCGTCTGGATGGGGAAGCTGACACACCTCTACCTGGACCACTCGTCCCTTCAGGATCTGTCGGACCAGGCGTTTTCCCAGGCCGGCCTCCTGGTCCACGTTGACCTCGGCCACAATCAGCTTCGATGCCTGGAGCCGCTCTCAGGCCCAGCAAAACTGAGCGTCCTCAACCTGACCGGTACCACTCTACACTCACACAGGGGAGGAAGAAAAAGGCTTCGACATGAAGACCGGCCAAAACGCAAAGTTTTCCTCAACGCCCTTACAAAGTGTCAAATAAGAAAATGTAATTTTGTCATGCAGCAGAGTCACTATTACCCCATCTAAAGGCCATGGAGTATTTGGGACAAACTGGAAAATAAATAAATAAATTGCATGAATAAAACAATAGAATTAACAGAATAAACTTGTATGAGAATAAAGTACAAGAATGAAGTCATAATGCTATGAGAATAAAGCCGTATGAGAATATAGAGCCAAAATTAATACAAGAATAAAGTTGTAACATTATGACTAATATTGCGACTTTATTCTTGTAACATTATGACTTTATCCTCGCATTATCTCAGCTGTGTTCTCAACGACTTTATTCTTGTAATTGTATTTTTTATTTTCTTTGAGTATCAGGGCCAAACTAAAAAAAAAAAAAAACATTTTAAAATAAAATTACAAGAACAAAGTCCTGGTATCACCAGAATAAACTTGTAATAAGCACATTATTTAAAGTGTTTTTGAACTGAATTTGAATTATTCTGATGCCACAACTTTTTTCTAGTATTATTATTATTCTTGTAGTCTTGCGTGACTGCGAGAATTTGTAGTCATAAGACTTGTTTTTGTTATTTTATTTTTTTATTTTCTTAATTTGGCCCTACTACTCCATTGTAAGATAGTGCATTTTTTCCACCAGTATAAATGGAAAGTTAACCTTTCCATTTCTGCTCTGGCTGAATATTTGAGCTTGTCGTCCTTCTAAAAGCTGAACCTCAGCACCAGTTTGAAGATTTTTTTTTTTTTGCAGTGTTTTTAGGAAATGTCCTGCATTTAGGACGCTCTGAAGGCATGACATTTAAAACGCAAAATGCATTTAGTCCCAACTGCAAAAGGGACTATCTTCCCTTTCTCTTCAAGGCAACCCGATCCACTGCAACTGCCGCGTGAGGCGGCTGAAGGAATGGGCGACCGCCGGAGGAGTGGAGCTGCTGGGAGCCTGTGCAGGACCAGCCCACCTCTCTGATGAGCCGCTGCAGGCTGTGACCTCCATGGATCTGCGCTGCCGCGGCGGAGCTGAGGCCCTGGAGGAGCAAGAGGGGGAGAGCGATGGAAACATCACAGCCACTGCCAAGCCCAAGCAGACAGCCAAGTGTCCACTTGACTGTGAATGCGACGTATGTTTTATTTTAACAAAAGTTGTAGATTTATTATAAAGCCCTGGCTATGTAGACTTCTTAAATCTTCTTAGCTTCTTTTCAATGAAAGAATCTGAGTCTCTTTGGACTGATGCTCTGCTGGGTTGACAGAATATTGAGATAATAACAATTTGTTCACATTTTGCATGTTTTGGGGTTTCAGCTGCTCTTAAAAAGCAGCACCCAGCCATTTTTTTTTTTGTTTTGTTTTTTTGTTTTGGTAATAAGTTGGTATTTTGTGGTACCAAGAAAACAAACCGTTTGAAGAACCTTGCAATTGCTAAGTCACGTCCTTACCTAGCAACACCAGCAGAGCCCAGCCCATCAACTAGCAACCCAAGACCTCCAGCATGTCTGGTCAGCTGGTTTCACCGCTGCATGCGCTGTACAATGGCCGCTGGAAGTGACAAGTGTTTAGTTGTTGATTTACCATCCATGAACCACTCACCGCAGACTCGTTAGTTGTGCATCTGTTTTTCACCTGTGAGGGTAAACATTGGGTTGGGGATGTCAAAATAAGCAGGACTGAAATCTCATTACCTAAGAATGATTTTGGGCAAAAACAAAATGTACCAAACATGTTTTGTAAAGCCCACAGAAACTAACCGAACCTGTTCAAGGAAATGCAGGTCGCTTTTAGAGTCAGATGTTAACCTGGGAATATTGTGGGGTCCAATAAGCGTTCTTGGCAAGCATCCGAAGACAGTAGGCGGGAAAAGTTTTCCTGTAACAGGAAGATAAACTCAGGCAGAAAACATGCGGTGGAAGTGCATCAAATAGAGACCTACGATTTAAGATGTGCAGCAGCTTTCTTTCTTTCTTTCTGATTTCCCTCCCCACCCCCAGACTGAAGCCCACCACGCCTCATGTGAGAGCCGCGGTCTTAACAAAGTCCCCCGGGGCTTCCCGCTCAGGACGCAGCTGCTCAATCTTCGTGGCAACCACTTCCATTTCATCCCCGCCCGAAGCTTCCTGGGCGCTGGTCACGTTGCGTCTCTGCACCTGGACTTCTGCAAAATCCACGAAATCGAAGCTGGGGCCTTCCGTCCAATGAGGAACCTGGTGTATTTGTACCTGTCTGACAACGACCTCACGTCTTTGGAGCCCAAAGCTTTGGCGGGACTCCCACAGCTCGTCTATCTTCACCTGGAGGGGAACCGGCTGACACAATTCCCCGGAGCAGGTCGGATTAAAGTTCCTAAAGTTACAATTGTATCCATGTGAAGAACCAAAGTAAAGTTGACGTTTGCTTTTTCCCCCTGCAGCTCTGTCACTCGTACCAAATTTGTCCGTCTTGCACCTGGAGCGAAACGCCATCTCGAGGCTGGAGCCTGCTGGTTTACTGGCCTCAGCTGCTCCGTCTCTCATGAAGCTCTATTTGAGGGGCAACGCCATTGGCGGAATCGCCAAAGGCGCCCTGAACTCCGCTAACATCGAAACGCTCCACCTGGATGCAAACCGGCTGACCCGGGTGCCGTCCGACGCTCTGACCGACACGCCGAACCTGGTGGAGCTGAGCCTGTCTCAAAACCCGGTCCGGTGGCTCGGACCCGAGACCTTCCAGGAGACGTCACACCGTCTTCAGAGGCTTTACATGAATCAGATGGGGCTGGAGGAGGTAAAGATCATGATGGACGCCGACATTTGTGTGTTTGTTTTTTCTTCAGAAATTGTCTGAAATTGCTGTGATTGTTTGATGTCAAAAATTGCTGGTTTAACTGAGGGCTGAAAATTGTATCAAAATATTAGTGTTTCATTTCAGCCAGCATCAATAATTATTGATTACCATAGTTGTTTATTTTACAATTATTTTAAGTATCTGAAATACTGCTAAAGTGGTGATGTTTTATACACAGTTTTCACTCCACTGTGTTGTTTTTTTTTTGTTTTTAAGCATCTATGAGGCACAGTGACAAAACCTGAAACTGCTGCTGCGCAGGTTACTCACCTGGCTGTTGCTAGGTAACCAAAGAATGACTGAGTTGCTAGGTAACAAAAGAGCGAGTGAATTAGTTGATGTGAGAAGTCCAGTGGAGTTCAGAGAAAACATTTAAAATTCTATCAGGCATTCTATCTATTGATATTGATCACATATTTGTTGTGATATATACGGTTATTGATTAATCGCCAAGTCTGGGTTTAAATAAATCTTGTGTCTGTGGTTAGATGTCGAAAGAGGCTCTGCTGGGCCTGGGTCCACATCTGAAAGTTCTGACCGTGAGAGGAAACCAGCTGAAGACGCTTCCGGACCTGAGCCCGCTCAGCGGCCTCGAGATGATCGACCTGCGGGACAACCCTCTGGTCTGTGACCGTGACCTGCTGCCCCTGCGAAGGTCAATGCATTTACCAGAGAGCCGGTTCCTGTGAAAATCAAAACAGTGAGATGGTTAATTCAGCTTTTAAAACCCAAGCATTTTCAATCAGGTTGAGGTCTGAAGAAGGCTGTCTGATACTGAAGCTTTACACAATGGGTTGTTAAGAAGAAGAAGAAGAAAAAAAAGACCAAAACCAAACAGAAGATGATTATATCCAATTTAGTGTGGCCAGAGTTTGGTCAGTCGTCCACAGATGTACCTGGATGTTCCAGCAGGACATTGATCCCAAATGTGACATTAGTGCCAATTACAACTCCAACTGAAGTGTTTTCTGACGTCTGAATTTCTGTGTTTTGTTCGCTCAGGTGGATGGAGAGAGTGAAGTCGGACGTTTTGGCAACATGTCGTCACCCTCTAGAGCTTAAAGGTCAGAAGGTTATGGACACCAATGTGTTCGCAACCTGTCCAGAAAGCACAGCTTCTCCGACCGAGATGGATCCTGCAGGACGCGCAGCTGCCGGACTTCAATCCGCCAGAGCGAAGACAAAGGCCAGAAAAGCTCGAAGCACCCAGTGAAACATAAGTAGGTCAAAAAAACAAGAAGATGAACAAAGCAAGTGGAGGAAATTGAGTTTGTGTTAGTTTTTTTTTTATTTTAGTCTATTAGTGTATTGTAGAATCAAGTTAAAGTAGTCACTTTAGTATTTAACCATAAAGTAACCTTTGTTTCACTCAAATGGAAACACATGCAGTTAAATGGTTGGATAGAGGTCAAAATCCTCTATGAATATTTATTTCTTGTCATCCATCTGTGATTAATAAATTTATAAATTCCTTCTGCTGATTAATAAAAAGAGTACATTTTTCTTAAATTAAAATTGTATTGAGGATTTTTTTGCTTTTACCTGAGTAAAATTTTTATCTGAGTAAAATTTTTACACTTGGTAACTTGTATTTGAGTAATATTCTGGACTCTTTCCACCTATTTTTACACTTTGAATGTTGAGTCTGGTTCTCTTTCATCAATGACTCCCTTCCTTTCCTCAAAGATGGGGGCCTAATGTTTACTGATTTTTACTAATGTTCAGGGCTTACTCTGTCTTGTGCCTCTTGTAAGATCATCCATCAAACACACATAAAGGAGAATAAAAAATTTTGTTCAACTGCATAGGATTTAAGAACATTGTGAGTTTTTTTGTTTTGTTGTTTGGAGCACTGGAATGAATGCTTACAATAGTTATTACTTTAGAGAGAAAAAGAGGACTGGAGGGTTTATAAAACAATATCACAACGTTGTCGGCTCACCTTTTCTATGATGATATCGGCAGGTCACGCTGCCGTGCATCGCGTGGGGTTCCATGGTGTAATGGTTAGCACTCTGGACTCTGAATCCAGCGATCCGAGTTCAAATCTCGGTGGAACCTAACTTTTACTTTCACCCAAATCTTCGTGGGATTCTTTTTTTTTTTTTTTTTGCATTTTATTAATATTATTACTTTTTTTTTACAATACGTCTCAGTCACTTAACCCAAATTGTGGGAAAATAATTCACTTCAGTTCGAAAGAAGCTAACTGTCGTCATTTCCGACTGGGTGAACGAACTAAGCGTTCCCGGATTATCCAAGATGGCAGCAGCGATGGATGTTGACACACCAAGCGGTACCAACAGTGGAGCTAGCAAGAAGCGCTTCGAAGTCAAAAAGGTATCTCTGTTCAAAGCAGCCGTGGTCAAATTGAACAAATGCGTCACGTCGTCAGCTGTGGCAGAATGCCGTCAGCTACAGCTCAGTCCTACGAGCTGCCTGAGCTCTCTTAAATACAGCTAGCATTAGCTACGAAACTGCTAGCGTAGCACATTGTGGATTAAAATGCGTCATACTACGTACTACTTGTTAAATTCGACCACTTATCTTTAGTATCTCTGCGCTACTATTCATATTTAGCTAAAGCAGATAAACCGCCCTTGACTAAAGATAAAGTAGTGCTGCCCCTGCATGCTAAATTAGCTTAGTCAGCTAGCTTCAACTGTCAATATTTCTCAAACTGTAAAGAAATTCAATTGGTTGCGCTGTTATATTTTTTTTGTATGTTTGCCACATCTTAACGTTTATTACGCATTATCAATGTCATCTTCATAGCTTATTTTATGACAAATCTGTCAGTTTATTTAGTTTAGTGTTGGATGGGTTAGCATGTCTGTGTCGTCATCGTCCTAAACAGAGAAGTCAGATTCAAATCTCCACTTTCATTCTTAAGACCCAGTGCAATCAAACAGGTTTGCGTTGTTACTGAAGTCAGAGTTGATGTATTGTAAGCTTTTAATCATACTGTCTTGTATTGGAAGAAATTCCAGCCTTAATTAATTGTGAGGAATACATTTTCTCCCAGCTCCCTGATATATCCACTCATTAACAGACGCCATCTGTTGCTGGTCATAGTGTTTTGTGCCTTAGGGCATCTGGATAATTCTTCCCGTTTTGTTCATCTCCAGTGGAACGCTGTTGCGCTGTGGGCCTGGGACATAGTGGTGGATAACTGTGCCATCTGTAGGAACCACATCATGGATCTCTGTGAGTTTGTTTGGTTCTGACGTCGGACATCTCTGTCAATAAGCTTTGTCTGGTTGCAGTGCAGTCTGACGTCACTTCCTGTCCTCCTTCAGGTATAGAGTGTCAGGCCAACCAGGCGTCTGCGACATCGGAAGAGTGTACCGTAGCCTGGGGCGTCTGCAATGTGAGTTTGCAAATCTACATGAGAGACGTATTTCGAGAAAGCACTGTGTTCATTCGAAATGGAGGAGAATCTTGAAAAGTTAATTCCTGTCATCAAGTTACTTCCATTCTGGCTTTTATCTTGACTTACTGTTTTTTCCCATCCCCCCCAGCATGCCTTTCATTTTCACTGTATTTCCCGCTGGCTGAAAACCAGGCAGGTGTGTCCTCTGGACAACAGAGAGTGGGAGTTCCAGAAGTGAGTATGACCGGTTTTCTGATTCCGAGCCTCACTGTGAGTATTTCTGTCGATGCGAATCTCTGTACTGACGTCTCTTCGCCTGACTCTGCCTTTTTTTTTCCCGCAGATACGGACACTAGCCACCGGACCGTCGGCCCGGTTCGGCAAGCGTTGGTCTCTCCGCCTTTGTACTCCTCCCTGCTTATCAGACTAGATGTTGTTTTCCACAGATTTGTTTTTGGATTGTTGCCAGCTCCTAAATAAAGAGCAATGTTATCACAGACCCTGGATGACTTTTCAATGGAGACCGCTTGAATTATTATGAACTGAAATAAGATTGTATGGTTGTTAGTTGTGTTACAGGACAGTCAGTAATCATGTGGCGGGAAGCCAGACTATTCAGAAGGATCTTAAGTGACCTCCTAACTAGTATCATCACTGGTTATAATTTGAGATTTGTAAATCATTACAGTGACTATTAGTTCTGGAAATATTTTAACAGTATTTCCACTATATGAAAAAAAAAAATCTTATTTTGGTAGGTCGATATCAGGATTTGTTTTCGTTAAAAAAGAAAAAAAAAATCAAGAATGTAAGAATGTGGTTGAAGTGCTATGCACAATATAAACAAAGGAGAAGCTAGTAGATGTGATGTTTGTCAAATGCAACCAGTCCAATCCAATGAGCCTTTTTTTTTTTACCCTCATCCAACTGAATAAAATACATTTACAGCAGCTAATTTCATGTAAACATTTGGAAAACAAAGACTCTATCTTCTGTAGTACATGTGGTTTTCAAAAAGCACCTTTTCATTTCTATTTGTGAGTTTTAAGACAAGAGGCTGGATACTTTTTTTAATACCGGATAGTTAATTGTGAAAAATATATTACTGATATTTGATTGTCATTTGTGGTGGAAAAACAATGTGAATATGCCATGGAAATCTGCTAAAATTTAATTTGTTCAGTAATGTATAAAAATATATAAAGGCAGTCTGCTTCTCCATTTTCACAGTTAATCAACTGTGGAAGGACCAATATGGGGTGCAGAATTTGATCTAAAGGCAATATTATATCTATAGAAATTAAGTGGAAAATACTCCTAAGGTTGACATTTCTACATAAAATACTTAACTCCTACTGAATTGAATTTAATTTGTTTAGATGCAATAAAGTTTTCCATTTCATAAAGGCGGTAGCTCAAACTCCCAGCCAAATGAAGGACAGGCTATATAAAAAAAACAGAAAGCAGATTTTTGCATCAAGAGATTTTATTGTGATTTCCCCCCCACAAAGTCAAACATGAACATTATTACTTTCTTTAGTATTAACAGTTCTGATAACAAAAAAAAAAAAAAAGACAACACACCAAAGCCTGTGTGAGAGTTTCCGGCTGTGTTCAGAAAGAAAACCAGAGGGAAAGCTTTACAACGTATTAAATGTTTGTAGAAAGGCTAAAGAGTTGTAACGCAGAGGCTTTCAGTGCAGCTGTTCCAGATAGAGGTTAAGAAAAGGTCAACCTGCGGGTTAAACAAAGTCCAGGCGGAGACACATCTGAGGTGACCGAAACGTCAGACCGGGTTTCTGGTGTTGTCGGCTAGTTCAGATGTAGTCAGGTGCTAACAGGCTGATTGAGAACGCTGTAAAAAGTTACTGAATGTTTTCTTTTTTGTTGCTTTTTTCTTTTTGTGGAACATTGCACCAATTTACACATAATCAGCTCCTCACTTTGAACTAAACACAGTGAATAATTGTTGACAAGCTGCGCTCTCTGGATCGCTTCACCTTTTGGTCTCGTTCCCGCCGGCCGCCCTCTACGGCTGTGGGGAGGCTCCGAACTTGGCACTCAGCTTGGTGACCAGGGCCATGATTTTGGGGTTGTTTTGATACTTGGAGATGTTGGCCGGGTTCTGCGCCACATCCTGGAATGCGGCCATGACCTCAGGGTCCTGGATTCAAACGACAGACACCGGCACGATTAAAGAGGCACAAATATCTCAAAAATCACAGGTTTCTCTACACAAAGATCCATATCTTTAATACACATCTTAATAAATTTACATACCATAAAAATGTTCTTTTTCCAGTAATTCAACAAAAACAAGTGAAATTTCTAAATTTTTTGGGATAATTATGGCTAACAGGTCACAAAAACCTAATATTGAAATCCTAAGAAAAAGATATTTAACCTTAAAAAGAAAATTTCAATAAAAGGTGTACGATACTGAATATTTTGGCACTGATCCGATATTGAGTATCGCCAGGATTAGTAACGCCGATACCAATACGTTTAAATAAATAGTATCAAAATGTCAGTTTTTTCCTGAATTATTTTGGTTCAAACCACAGTTTGGGGAAAGTTTTTTTTTTTGTGTGTCTACAAAATACTTTTAATTATATGCCAACATGACAAATGATATAAAAAAAAATATTTGAAAGCAAATCGAAACACCTCCAAGGTACAAAAACTAGAATTAAACAAACCAAAAAAACCTAAGAAGCAATCTGACGCTAAATTATCGAGATTAGCACGATAGTATCACCGTCACCGATACTGATACCTACTTGGTCGCAACCTTCACAATCCTGGGGAACACTGCTAGCTTAACAGATGTCCGAAAGTGGAAATATAAACAACGTTTTGATGGGAAAAAGGTTCACAACAGTAAACCCAATTAAGGAGTTCGAGAGAGATTCACAAGATAAAGTTCCTTCAGAGCCTTTATGGTCATGATTACTGTCTTTTTTTTTTGTGTTTGTTTTAAATACTCTGAAACTCCATGTTTAGAAGCTGAGCGGCGCGTGAGTTGACACGACGAATTGGTGCTGATTCGACTTGCCTTCATGGCGTTGAGCAGCTCAGGATCCTTGAAGAGCTCGCCCAGACCGGGCATACCACCAGGGGGTGCTCCGCCCGGGAAGCCAGCAGCTCCTGTGCAGGAACAAACCCACGAACAATCAGGAGCAGAACTTCAGGTTTTCCAACAGGAAACGGCTGATTAATAACACCAAACAACGTGCAGGATGATTACATGCAGCCACATCGTGCTTCCACTCTCACCTGGGAAGAATCCTCCTCCAAACTGCCGGGCTTCCTCTTCCTGCAGTGATGAAGTGCAGAAGGTCAGCCATCTTGACCAGATTGTATTCAACAGCTTAAATATCCCTCAGACTCACCCTCTGTGCACGCGCATGCTCCTCTCGGGCTTTCTTTATGCGCTCTTGTTTCTCCTTGATCTCCTTCTCTTCCCTCTTCCGCTCATATTTGCGTCTGTGCTCCATGATTTTATTAGCCTGACGACCAAAGTTTAAAAAGTAAAAAAAAATTTAAAATGAAGCTATGCGGGGTTTATGCAGGCTTCACCAACTCAAATACAAGACGTTTTAAGACCATAATGGATTAAATTTAAGACCCGTCTTGTGACAGAATGGATGCAGCATCGTACATCCATGTACTAGCTAACATGTTAGCTAACTAGCATGTTAGCTAACATGACTCAAAGCTCCACAGCTTTGAGTCGCAGAATGCAATGAAGATGCCTGCATGTGACTCAAAACATTTGCCTGACAGAAAAGTCCCAAAAAAAGCCACATAGAACACGAGTAAACAGTCCTGTCAAAATTTAAGACCTGTGATCGACGTATTCAAGAGCAACCTACGGTTTTGTAAATGAATTTAAGACTTTTTAAGGACGCACAGTCGCCCTGTCACTATTCTTCCCTGCTTCGGTACCTTTGGCTGCACTTCCTTTAGCAGCGCGCTCGCGTCCTCGTCGTAGTCCAGCTTGCAGGCTGTGGCCAAGTCTTTGGCTGCCTCCTCCCAGTGACCAAGCAGCCTGCGCGCGCGCACGCACACACACACACACACACACACACACACACACACACACACACAGCAAAATCACACAGAAGGTAGCAAATGCAGCAAAATGAGAAACCCTTTGTCACAAACTGGCATTCGGACTAGAACAGACCTTTCTGTGTCTGATTTTGTCTCAGAAGTTGGGGAGGACGATGGGAAAAAAGGTGGGATTTGCCAACTGTTGTTGTGGCCGACTGGTCTACGTAAAACAAGCTGATAAAAATCCGGTTAAAACACAAAGGAAAGACTATCAGAAATATTTTAGAGAACTTTCTGGCCACCGCTACAACATTTAGTTATGGATGCTAAACTTTCCCCGGTCAGAATTTTCGACTTCATCTGACATTTTTTGTTGTTTTTCAACGAGGAAATTAACAAATTTTTGACATCAAAGTAAAATGAATGTGTTGTAGAAAAGCAGAACTACAGAGTGTAAATGTTCTTCTTTACTATTACGTTGATGCATTAGTCTCATTAAATACGCTGAGGTTTGTTAAGTAACAAAATCGCAGGATTTCTGCACATTTTGCATTTCAAGCATTTCTAGATTTTCTTCTAGATTTTTAAAAAGCTTTTTTTTCTTCTTTTGTGCTACTTTTTGACAACTATCCCTTCACAAGCAGTCATGTCTCAGCTGTAGGTTCCACGTATGAAAAGAAAATGGCGTTCGATGATGAGGTTTTTTGCAAACCACGCTAATTTTTATCGTAGTTATTAATATCCATAACTTGGGTCGAATATCCATATCCATAACTTGGGTCTTTACTATTAATGCATCAACGTAATAGTAAAGAAGAACATTTACACTCTGTAGTTCTGCTTTCTACAACACATTCATTTTACTTTGATGTCAAAATTTGTTAATTTCCTCGTTGAAAAACAACAAAAATGTCAGATGAAGTCGAAAATTCTGACCGGGGAAAGTTTAGCATCCATAACTAAATGTCGTAGCGGTGGCCAGAAAGTTCTCTAAAATATTTCTGATAGTCTTCCCTTTGTGTTTTAACCGGATTTTTATCAGCTTGTTTTACGTAGACCAGTCGGCCACAACAACAGTTGGCAAATCCCACCTTTTTGTCAAAAGAGAACTGGAGTATCTCACACTAAATGCAGATCCTTCAAAGAAAATCTATTACCTTTAATACTCCACGTAAAAAGAAAAATATATATATTTAAGAAAGGTAAGACTAACCAAGTCTGCATGGGTTAGATATTAAAATCAAATCGGATGTCATTTGAAATATATATATTTAATAAACTGCATTTTAGAAGTATTATTTGAAAACTGCTAACAAAAGAGTAGAAATAGAAAATTTTCTACAATTTTGCCAGGCTTTTCTTGCCATGTTTCACACATCAAAACCTAGAAAATGATAAAAAGAAAATCCTAAACTTCTAAGGTCTTTACAGGAACCATAGCAGATAAAAAAACCCCAACAAAAACATTCCAGTAAAAACACGTTTGCGTGTTTCACACTCGGGCTTAATGTTACAAAATACAATCAAACAGAAATGTTTGAAGAACCAGTTGAGTAGGGTTGCATGCGTTTACACTGAGGGTTTGGTGATGTCATAGAAAACACTGAATGCTGCCTCTTGGCCAAACAGACGGCGGCGGCGCCTCTCTGGTACCTGTGAGCTTTGCCCCTCCACTTGTACGGCTGTGCAGAGTCTGGGTTGATGCTGATGGCTCTGTTGCAGTCTCTGATGGCGGCGTTGGGTTTCTGCATTTTGATGTACACGCTGACACACAGGCGGACACATTTAGAACGGGTTTAGAACGCTTTACAGGCGAGTTGTGGATCAACGTCCGCCCCGCCGGGTCGCTCACCTCGCCCGCTTGGCGTAAAGAATGGCCACCCGAGGGCTCAGCTTGATGGCCTCTGTGAACAGATCCAAAGCCTTCTGAAGGTCGCCTGGAATCAAAAGCAGGAGCGGGTTATTGATCGAAGATCTCTTTCAGTGCCGCGGATCATTTTCATTCTGGTCACTTGGCGGATCGGAGCGGAGCCGACCTTCTCCGAGGGCGTTGATCGCTTCGATCTTCTTCTCGTTGGCTTGGTCCATCATCTCCTCTGTGACCTGCAGACGAGTCCAAATTATTTATCCCTAGCAAACTCGTAACAGAAGGAAGTTTGGGTTTCAGACGTGTTCACTCGGTCTGAGGAATGTGTCACCTCGATGTTGTCGAGCTCTCCCATGTCCTGCGGATCATCTGCGTCCGGCTCAATCACTCCTTCATTGTCGATTTCTAAAATAAAAGGAGAAATGTGTCTTTTTGTTTCCACTGAAGTAGAGTCCAGGACCCCTGATTCCACAGATATCTGAGTTTTGTCCTTACAGAAGGAAATTCTTGGTTTCCTAGCCTGTTAATAAAACGTTGCTAACTGCATTGTACCTGAATGAACAGAGGTCTATTTTTTTATTTATTTATTTTTTGTGATTCTTTGCATTGAAAATCTAAACGTTTCTGGTGCCGATTTAGAAATATTTGCAAGAAATGTTGCAATATTTGCAAGTGTAGAAGTGAAATATACTGCAGGAGGGAGTTGGCATCTCTTAAAAAAAATGTTTTCTACCAATTTTTTGGAAAATTTTCAATATACTCCGTTATGCACAAGCACAAAAAAAGAGTCGATTTATTGTTTATGAGTTAATTTCCAGTAAAACTGGAGTTATTGATACATGTAATTTTGGCAGTAAACCGATAAAAACGGTTGGATTTGATTAATGTAACAACATTTAAGCACACAACTTCTACTTATGCAATTCCTCTGGAGTCTTGAGGGCCACATAAAAAGCTATGCCGGGCCAGATTTGGCCCCCGGGCCTCGAGTTTGACTCATGTGGTGTCGACCATTAGACGTGTCAAAGAAAGATGCTTCAACAACAGGAAACAACGCTCCAACCTGTCAGTTTATGACCGTTTTAAAGTACGGTTTACGTTTCCTGTGTTGCATTCAGGTGACTTGATTTGCTATTTTTGCCCTGGAGGAACCTGACCGCAGACGGAACGGTGAAGCTGTAAACAAAGCAGCTCAGATGTGAATCTCTTCTGTACCTATTTCACTCTCCTCGCTCTCAGAATCCACAGGGAACTCAGGCTCTGGAGGCGGAGCTGCGGAGGGGGACGGCCCACACGGACAGCCACCCTAAACGTCACACAACGCCAATCAATAGTTCTCCTCTGTCTTTCCACGGACGTTTCAATGAAAAGAAACAAAAAGACATTTGGCAAGAAAAGATAATCCGCACATCACCTGGCAGGAGTCCTGCTTCTTAGCCGGAGGAGGGATGTTGGCGCCCATGCTGTGGGGTAAAATTGTGAGGCGTTAATAAAGCATCAACGCGAACACCGGCTTTGTTTTTCAATCGTTAAACAGTCGTTTCTTAAAGCGTGCAACAGAATCCCACCCGTATCTCTTTACCACAAACTTTATTGCATTTTATTGGGTTTAGCCTTTAATTTAGGCGATTTGAATCAGGTGTGGATCCGAAACTCGCCTTGGTTTAGATTAAGGCATATGGTTAAAATCAAAATTCCCCATAATTTTGATTTTGGGGAATTTCTTTTGGGGGTTTTTCTTCACAGGAAATGACACAGGCATTGCTCAGAAGACTTATACATCTTATTGTTATAAATATGTAAATCTATCTCCTTAATCAGTTGAAAAATGCTTTTTACCCTTATAACTCCACACTTTTAAGATTTAAGCCCATCAATGCTAAACTACCTTTGTTTAAGCACAGATTTGTGTTGGTCTATCACTCGGATCTGAAATTAGACTAAATAGTTTTAAGTGAAAGGGGAATGACAACTTTTACAAGGCACTGTAATGTTACAGACTCCCACCTGTAAATAAAAATATTGGTTAAATTTTGGTTCAAGTTATTAAAATGTACATAAAAATGCTTTATCGCCAGCACCAATTCTGACGCTTTGAATGTATTAGTCTCCCACAGAATGGTTAATATTCATTTTTGGACACTATTTGGATACCAATCCTAATGATTGTTGAGGTTTGGGACTTCATTTTGCAACAGAATGTTGAACATTAGCCCTCTGTGTTTTTGGAGTATTGCTATTTATTTCCAGGTGTATTTATTTAAAGTTTTCTTCCTCGGTTTTTGAATTTACAGTCAACATTTTTCCCATTCCTTCCCCAATTTGTTCCTCGTCAATTTTGGCAGGATCGGTCCTCCATATTTGCAACACATCCATCACAACACGAAGACACACAAATGGCTACTGGTTTAAACTGGATGGTGGGCGGGTCAGAGCACGTGGTCAGCCCGCAGAATGTTAAAAGACTTCAAATATCACCGATGACTAAAACTGAAAATAATTGCATCCGGTGTGTTGATGTCATAAGCAGTAAATCCCTGCTTGGTCGTCTCGATCGGCGGCTGTGCCTCAGAGCTCCTGACCTCTGCAGCCAGGTGCGGAAGAAGCCCATCTCCGGAAGGTGCAGGATCCCCGGGTTGGACTCGCACATCTGCACGAAGCCCTTCAGCTCTTTCACTTTCCGTGGGTCCATGCTGGCGCGTCAAGGTCCGGCAGACGGAGCGCTGCGCGCGGCCTGGAGGCAGAAAGAAAAGCAGCGGACAACTCAGCCTAGCGGGGCTTTGTTTATGCGCTGAGCTGTTAATACCCTCTGTGATAAGCTAGGCGGTGCTAGCATGCTGGCACGTCGTGAATGCGAGCTTCGAGCCCTGGCTTGTTTATTCAAATTCAGTCAAACCACAAGAACAGGCACGAAGGAGGTTCCAGAATAAAACAATTTAGAACGACTTAAATAAATACGACAGTCGCTGAAAGCGAGAACTTTCTGGAAATGTGGATCAGTGCGGGACGCTGACCCCTTTTGACGCATGAACACAGCGCTGCGATATGCGGCGTCGCTGAATGAAAGTCAGCATTTGGACGCTTTCGAGAAAATAGAAGTGAACACACCTGTCTGAACAATGCTTGGAGAAGAGAAGAAGCGCTGCAGAAGAAGGTTGCGGTCGTTGTTTTTTGTTGTTGTTGTTGTTTTTTTTTTTTTTTGTCTTATCGCCACCAACAGTCTGCTTCGCTGGAGGTGGCGTCGCTCCGGTGTTTCGTTCAGGCGAGAAGTCGGGCAGACCGGAACCAATGGGTAAAATTTTCCCCTCGTCAGAGTTTGTCAGGCAGATTTCACAGGCTGGCGTTGATAAACATGACAGGATTGAAATTAGTTACGTCATAAGAAACGTGTGATGCATAAAAAAAACTAAATAAATAAATAAAGAGGGAGAGTAGTAAGTATAAATAAATAAATAAATAAATAAGAAGCAAGTTTTTCACTTCTCCAAAATCAGGTCACATGGGTGACCTTCCTCTTCCCAGCACCATTTACAGCTTATTCTGGAGGATCTCAGATCAGAGCACGTCTCTTAAAAAGTTTGACAATGGATGACACCAGTAGGTCAAAGGTCACGATTTAACCTAAAGCAAGAAACGGGGCAAAAATGGCATCTAATGATAGTTGCAGAGAAAGCGACACAAATGCCCGCATCACCGAACGTAATGGTCCTTAAGTCCTTTATTGGGGGGAGGGGGGGGGGGGGGAGGTGTGAATTATTTTTATTATTATTTCAAAATACGATTCAACAAAATGGCTTTAGGGACAGGCGTTCTCCCAGCCTGACAAACCAAACTCAGGGCAGCAATTCCACAAACGAGAACGAATGTGGCTAATGTAGCAACGAGCTAGCTCAGCCTACTGTCACCCGCTGCACAGCTGCTGCTTTCCATGAGTTTTTGACGGTAAGTCAGTTAAATCCCACATGCTGCCGTTGTGCGTTCAGATATAATTTCTAGTTTTTGACTCCCTTCTGTCCTCGGCAGGACACTGTCATGCTGTGTCCTCCAGCAGCAGCAGCAGCAGCTTTGGGAATGTTGTCCCCCGCCTGCAGCTTCACGAGGTCAGCCGTCAGGCTGCTGCCGCGGCGGACCCGCGCTGGAGGTGGCTCATCACATCACTTATCACTATCTCACTAATCTGACGGCAAGAGCAACTCTAACTCAGGAACATCAGATTTGTGTATATAGAGGGATGGAAGATGTGAATAAGCCAAAGTTAGGCATAACTTCAGCATAACCACATCTCTGACCTCCAGTTTTAATGTTTCATAAGCCTCCATGTGAGCCTTGTGAAAAGTTGCCTCGCGATTTTTGTAATAGTCTAACGCAGAGCCGGACGATTAATCGTATTAATCGTGAAATAGTTCATTTAGCTGTCGATTAATCGTTAACTGAGGCAGCAGACTCCACAAAGGAGTCTGCTGCTGCTGTCATAATTGAGCCGAAACATTATGAAAATAAAAACACATGTTGCATTGAAAATAATAATAATAAAAACAATTTATGTGTAAATATGTTAAACTAAGAGCTCCTCAGGTGGCAGTTTTAGCTTGGCCTGGTTTAAATCCTGTAGAAACAAATTCCAATGAAGCACCTTTTTGTTATCCAGTTATTAATGGGTTTATCAGAATATTGAAAGTAGTTTTTTTTTTTTTTTTGCTGCAGATGCATCCTTTGCCTCGAATGATCATGCGTACATTAAAGGAATGCTGTGTTGTTGCATTTTAGGAAACAAAATGTTGACTTTATTATTTAAAGAAATAAATTCAATTATTACATATTTTCATGTATTCCAGAAATTGTATACATATATATATATATATATATATATTTTTTAAAAAGCCTAAGTGGTCCATTGAAAAATTTCCAGAATGGAACGTTTCTTTTTATCCGATTAATCAATCAATCGTCAGAGTAGAATAATCCATTTCTGAAATAATGGTTAGTTACCAGAAAACTGGGAGGATTTTTGCCGCTATACGTTGTGGATTTGCGTTGTGTTGTCTGCAGGTTGTGCATGGTGCCGCCATATTTCCGTGAAACCTGGAGATCTGAAACCAAAGGCTGTCCCGCCTCGGTACCTCGGCCAGCCCAGTCCTTTCACTCACCCTCACCTCGTCAAACAGGGCGAGTGCCTTTTATCCTTGAATGTGGCTGCTCTTGGCCTTCGGATAGTTAGACGTGTCAACCAGAGATGCTTGACGCAGTTGGGCTTTCTGCTCTCTCTGCTCCTCAGGTGAAGTGACCCCAGGCTTAACCCAGACGGAGTTCGAGCTGCGCAGGCAGAAGCTGGCCCTCCTTATAGAGGCCCACGCGGACAAGCTGGGACCTTCTGCCTCCTCTGGGAACCACGTGGCCGTCGTTTTGTCCCACCCGATAAGCTACATGACCAACGACATCCCTTACCCCTTCCACCAGAACCAGGTTTGCCATTCCTTCACCTTCTGATGACAGCACCGATCCGGTGAGTCCCGTCTGCTCCACAGCTGTCTGCCTCGTGTTTCTCAGGATTTCCTCTACCTCACCGGCTTCTTGGAACCCGACAGTGCCTTGGTCCTTTACGGGAGGGCTCGACCGGACCAGGCCATCTTATTTGTCCCCCGCAGAGATCCGGGGAGGGAACTGTGGGACGGTCCGCGGGCGGGACGGGACGGGGCAGCCGCTTTGACAGGCATAGAAAGAGTTCACTGTACAGAGGAGCTGGGTCTAGTTTTAAAGAGCCTTAAAGGTGAGTGAATATAAGTCCAGAGTAGCTCTAAAAGACTTCACGCCTTTCTTAAAGCTACAGTAACCTTTCAATTGTACATCCTAGCTCTATTTAGCCTGCCACACTCGAATAGGCTGAATTTGTAATTTCTTATCTTTGTGAAAGGAAAAGAAATGTAAAATATAAAATTTAGTTTTTTGTGCTTTATATCATGTTATAATATTATTCCCTCATCAAAAACATTCCTGGAGTGTTGCTTTGATTCTGTCCCTCGAGTTTCCACCAACGTTTAGCCCGAACTGGCAAGTTGGAGCAAAAAGCCGGGGTTTGAGGACAAAGCCCCGCCTTTGAGGACAAAGCTCCTCCCGGGAGCTTTGTCCTCAAAGGCGGACACCTGGTGGACACCTGGTGGACACCTGGTGGACACCTGGTGGAGCTGCGCGTTTGCTGAGCTCGTTAAACAAGCTACTTCTCAGCTTATAAAAATACTGTTAAAGACACAGGGGCACAATTTCAACACTTTAAATAATAAAGTCAAATTTATTTCAAGTCATCTTTGTCATATAGCATTTTATTAACTACTTAAGTTAACATAGTTAGTTGATTGTGCTATAAAATACAATTATGTGGCTGGGAAAACACATAATACTGACCCTTTTAAAATTTTAACCTTAATTTTTAAAATTTATTTATTTTTTTGTCTCTTATCTCCTTCAGGCACCCAGCTCTGGTATGACACCTCTCAGCCCGCCCACTCTCGGCTCCACAGGACTCATGTTCTGCCTATGCTAGAGGCAGGTCCTGCCCCGCGTTCGCTCAGACCCCTCGTTCACTCTCTCCGGGCCATCAAGAGCCCCGCAGAGGTGTCGCTCATGCAAGAGGCGGGTCGGATCACAGCGCAGGTGTGTCAGTGGTGTCATTGCAGCGTTTTTGTTTGTCCGTCTTGTTTTCTCCGATTTTCTTTGGCTAAAAGACCAATTAACGTCGTTTTCCTTCAGGCTTTTAGGAGGACGATGGCGTTGTCGCAAGGAGATGTCGACGAGTCGGTCCTGTTCGCTAAGGCAGGTTTTAGATTTAGACCTCTGTTTGTTTCCCGTCACGATAGTAAATTATGCCGGACGATAAATTGTCCCGGATGTTATTACGATTAACAATCATATTGTCGCTTTAAGATGGCCTCACTTATCCAAAAAAAAAAAAAAGTAAGAATCGAAAACACTGAAGCGTAAAGGGGATTAACACATTTTCACCTTGGTGTAAACCTCACATAGACTTTCTTCTTCTTCTATTTTTTTTTTCCAGTTTGATTTTGAGAACCGGATCCACGGTGCCAACTTCCTGGCTTACCCCCCTGTGGTTGCCGGAGGGAATCGAGCGAACACTCTGCACTACATAGACAACAACCAGATCGTCAAGGTAATTGCTACTTGGAGCTGCAGCGAAGTCTTTAGGAAATTATGCTTGTTTTAAATAGTAGAGCTGTGGCTAAAAGAGGACTAGTATAGCAAATATAAATGATTTGGGTAATGCTAACAGGCCCAAAACAGTTTCCTCTCTTGTAATGTCTATAAATACCTGTTTTAATTGTCAAACGCAGCTGTAAATTTAGACTCTGTTTCCTGCCTGTGTCTTTCATCAGGACGGTGAAATGGTTCTTCTCGACGGAGGCTGCGAGTACTTTGGCTACGTCAGTGACATCACCCGGACGTGGCCGGTGAACGGGCAGTAAGTTCGACCGATTAGCCTAAAGAAGAATCAAAGAGTCAAAATAGTTTGGCAATATATCTCTAAAATGGGAGGCGCAGAGGTAAAAATCCACCAAATGTTGATAAATATTAGGGCTAGGGTTAGAGACGTCAACGTGGCGTTGATGTCTCCAGTTTGGTACTTTGAACTAAGCGAGTGTTTTGAAGTTTTGTTCCCAGAGGAGTGACCGACTCGCTATCCTCCCTGCCAGATTCAGCGCCGCCCAGGCCGAGCTGTACGAGGCCGTCCTGGAGGTGCAGCGCTCCTGTTTGTCCCTCTGCTCCCCCGGCGTCAGTCTGGACCACATCTACAGCACCATGCTGGCTCTGCTGGGACGCCAGCTGCGGCGCCTGGGGATCCTGAGGCCCGGCACCAGTGACGCTGACGCGCTACAGGTAAGACACCAGGGAGAGTATCCGATCCGACTGGTCAGGGACGGCATTTAGAGCAGTTTCAGATCTAATTAATACTGAACAAACTGGATTTGGAACATTAGCATTTGACCATGTTCGTGCTCAAGTCTGTGGGAATCGAACCTCACAGATCAAGAAGCTGCGCCTGCCAGATGTGGTTCGTGGGAAACCTACTTCTGCATAAAACTGTTAATCCATTAAACTGTCAGGTACTGCAAAAAATCTGCTGGGGTGAACTATGACACGACTTTTATGTGCTATCGACCATACTGGTGACTAATTGATTAATCGGATTAAAATAGTCAAATTCTGAAGATTTTTCATTTTGAATTATTTGAAATACATTAAATGACTTAAATAAAGAAGAAATTCAATATTTTTTTTAAATAAGAAAATACATATTTTCTTGCCTAAAATGGAATAACCCAGCATTCCTTTAATAATTTGTAGCAAATGATGCAACATCAACTCAAAAATAACTGGATGGCAAAAGGCGATCAATAGGATAATCTGAGTATCTTTTTTAAAAAAATCTTAAACACAAATTAATCCCATTTGGGTCCAACAATTCCTTTGGTGGTGTTATTCCTTTATTTGTTTATTTTTACATAGAGTAGAAATCTTGACTTTGTCTTGAACCCAGGCTGCGAGGAGGTTCTGCCCCCACCATGTTGGCCATTATCTGGGCATGGACGTCCACGACACCCCCGACTTGTCCCGCTCGCAGCCTCTCCAGCCCGGAATGGTCATCACTATAGAACCAGGTAAACCGTATTAACGCGACTCGAAGCTTCTAGTTTCTTTTTGCGACTTTACAGGCACAAACTTCATCGAATTCTTGAACTGGGCTCTTATTCTGGCGGACCAATGAAAACTAGGATCATTGCAATTTTTTGTTTCGGTCCCTATGAAAAAATGAACATTTGACATGAAATGAAAAATGGATGCATTTAATTTTGTGATGGGTCAAAAGACCCAAAATATTTAAACCTCTGTGCGTGTGACATAAAAAAAAAAGACCTTTCCTAATCGTTTTCCTCGCCACAGGGCTGTACATCTGTGAAGACAACGACCAGGCGCCGGAGCATTTCCGCGGCCTCGGAGTCAGGATCGAGGACGACGTGGTGATCCGGGAAAAGGGAGGACCTCTGATTTTGTCCAGTGGCGCTCCGAAGACTGTGGCCGATGTAGAGAAGGCCTGTGGAATGGGTTAGGCCGGGGACGGGGGAGAAACGGAAAGCGACCCAATTGTTACAGATCGCGGACGGTTCATGCAGCGTTCAGGCGCCTCGAGAAGCTCAGGACCTCGGAACGTGACGGCTAAACCCTGGACGGCATTAACTGTAGTGTAATCAGGGCTGCAGAAGTTTAGAAATGTGGTGTTAGAGGCGAGAAACTTACCTTTAAAACGCAATCAAGCACATTTGTGCCTTCAGTGATCGTTAAGGAGGCTTGAAGAGGCGAAAGTGGAAGATTGTGTGGCGTTAAAGCCTACATTGTTAACCGTTCAGTGGTGTAGCGATGCAGTAAGAACAATCCTGATCATGCTCTGAGCTTGCATATAGTTTCCACATAAATAATAGTAGCTCAATTAGAAACCCAATTTGATTTCATTTATTTTCTTCTTATCGTTTGTTTTTCTAGGACAGGTGTTTATGTCCACAAAATTATCAGTCAAACTCAAGCCGAATGATAAAGACTAACACCACCAAATGGACATACAAGCAGATGGATTAAAACCCCCCCAAAAACGATCATATTTAATCTGTTATGAATGAAGAGTGATGTGTTCAGCATTGAGACTGAGCTGGATCTTGAAAGAGTTGTACTGAAAGTTGGACCGAGTTGTTATGAATGCATGTTTGTCTTTTGCTTTAAAAAAAACAACAGTTTTCTCTTTTAGAATAAAGGACTTTGTTTTTCAGTTTCATAAAATATAAATAAAATGAAAAAAACATTTGAGAGCCACCTTAAAATGATCAGTTTCTCTGACTTTACCTGTCGTAGGTACATGTTTGAGTAAAATTAACTTTGTTCTTTTATTTCATAAACAACATGTCTCTGAAATTCCGGGCAAAAATTTTGTATTAGTAGAAAATGAGAAATGGTCAAAATAACGAAAACGGTGCGATGCTTTCAGACCTCAAATAATGCAAAGAAAACAAGTTCGTATTCATATTCATCTAAACCAGGCTTGCCCTACTCGAAAATATACTTTACTTCCCGTTAATTCACGATTAACTACATTGTTTTTGCTTAATTTAAATAGCAAAACATCGGCTGTATTGCTGCTAAGAATGTAGAATAAAAAAAAGAAGTCGGCAATTAAATATATAGGCAGTACATCGTCTAAAGATAATCAAGAACAGCAGAGAAAGTCACTGTTGTCACTCTGGAGAAGGAAACAGCGTGACACATGGGAGCTTTGTGGACATGTGGGAAAAAAAATCTAATCTGTGTGGAACAGATCAGGCTTGAGACTCTGGCAAATGGCAAAGAGCAAAAATCTTTATTTCAGTGGTTTGCAAACAGAGAACACACAGCAACCACAACACAACAGCTGTATCTGCAATGGGTTCTGACTTGGAGCTGCAAGCTCTTACAATATATAGGACTCTATGCAATGTGGTCACTCCCTGGCCCAGAGCCAGTTCAACAGGTTTAATGCACAGTCAATAGCCACAAGGATGCATCTCTCCTTACTGAAAGGTCAGTTAATTATTTGGTTGACAAATATCTTCTTCTTCGAAATATGGGAGTTTCCAAAAACCAGGATGCTAATGGAACAATTTTCCATACCAAAAACATTGTAAGACCTTGTACTTACTCTGAGCTTCTAACATTCAATGGAGAAATTTGTTAGACCTTAGGGCTTACTCCATCTTACTGTATTTACCTAAACTATCTGTTGTTCTCTGTTAACAAACACTGGCGGCTTATTTTAGTCACTGACAACCGACTGGAACTTTTCCAAGGAGAAGTCAAAAGGAAACCTATCGTAACTGATTCTTCAGAGACTCCTTGACCTACACGTTTTAACAGACTGAACAATACTGGTGTTAAATGACTAAAGAATTAAAAGAAAATTCTTTAAAAAAATAACAACACAATTTTTACTTCACAGACACCAATGAACCACAGAGACGTTTTTATCCACAAGGAAAACGTGGCACAGTGGTGAACCTGGACGCGCTACAGCACAATTGAATCAGACACTTGGACAACGATTCAAAGCACACCGGCAGGGTCCACATTTGAGTGGCTCAAAACCCATAAAATGAAGGTTTGGCAATGGTCTAGTCAAAGTATGGAATCCTTCAGAGTTACCAAATATGCCAGTTTTTGCTGGACAAAAGTGTCAGTGGATAGAGAAGGATTTTAGAGACTGATGGACAACCCTGAGCTCCCTCTCCAGGAGGCTGCCACAGAAACCAGGATGTCTTCGGTCAGAGGCTTCTTCAAGTTTCTGTTATACCGACTGCTAGAGGAGATCTTTCCTGCCCACAGCCATCACCATCTGCAATAACTCTTTGAAGAATATTGAATTAATATGGATAATACCAGCATTTAATTTCCCTTTGGGGTCAATACAATATTTTTGAATTGAATTAAACTGAATTAAATTTCCAAGCTGTGTTCCTCTGTCTTTATAATGCAGTTTGTTCACTAATGTTCTCTAATAAGCCTCTGAGGTCTTCACAGAAGTATTTATACTGAGATTCAATTGCACACAGATGGACTCTATTTGTTATAGCTGAACTCTGAAGGCAGTTTGTTGGACTTGGATTTTGTTTTGACTTTTCAGAGCAGAAGATAAAAGAGGGCATTGCGATCTGCTGAGGTTTATGGCGAAACCTTAACGAAATGTGGAAACATTTGAGAGCGGCATCAACAATTTAATGATCACAGAAGTGCATCCCAAATGTTTTTATTCCTCCTGTTGTCACCTAAATCTAAGAGCTGAGTGATTAGCAATCATACTAATTTTGTTTATTTGAGGGTCAATAAAGCTGAATGATGTAACTTTTACGTAAAAAAATTTTTTTCCACATATTTGTTGAAACTAACAAGGCTCCTCTGCCTTCCCAGTGCCAACCCAGAAATGACCAATCAGAGCCTTTAAGTCTTCTTGTGGGGCAACGCTCACCCTCCAGAACAAGCTATGCAGCTAGTATAGCTTGTTGTGAATGTTTAGTCTCTTTAGCATGGCCACTGATTACAGCAAGTAATAGCAAGTTTCTCTGCCATTAGCCCATTTAGCAGCCAGTACACGAGGTGATTGACAGCGCTACGTCCTGGCTCCGATTGGTTGATTTTGGTTGGAGCAGGCATCAGATGCCAGTAGCAGCTCAGGGAGATAAAGGATATTGTTGTTTTCACAGACAGTATGTCAAATGAAAAAAAAAAGTAAATAAAATAAATACTCTGAGTAAATGTGGAATAATTTTTAAAATACATATTTATTCAGGTAACATAGTAGAGATGCGTTGAAAGGTAAAAGTGGGACACCACCGTCCCCTGCAGACCGAAACTCGACGGCTGCCGCCGACATGCTGGGACAGGTTTCCGGACACTCCCGAGCACTCCCGAAGACAAACCTCTCCTCTTGTTCCTTTTCCTCCGTCCCTCCTCCTCCTCTTCACGCCTAATGTTGCCGTACCTCTAACCCTCCCCCCGTATCAGAGGAGTAGAAACAACAAGCCGCCATTTTGTTTGGCGGACAGACCGTCAGAAACAGGAGGCTCACCGATAGAAAAAAGGAGCGACCCCGGCCGCCGACGGCAGCCGCTCCGGGAACCGCGAAAGGGGGGGGAAGAAGAGACGGTCACCGAATCACCGTCCGGTGGAAGAGGAAGCGCGCGAGGAGAGGAGGCGAGACTTCAGTGGAGGGAAAGCCGCCCGGGTGTCATGTAGCTATACATATATATATATATATATATACATACATATATATACATCGATGCATGCGTGAGACGGAAACACTCCGAAAAGCTCGAGGAAGGGGGTGTTTTAGCGGAGCGGCGACGGGGAGGAGGAGGAGGAGGAGGAAGAGGAGAGGCGGAAGAGGGCTCGCGCACAGCGGCGAGGAGAAAACCTGCGAGAAGAGGAGAACAAGCACCATGAAAAATCACCATGTGTCCGCGGCGGAGGAAGGAGCGAGTCCGCAGAGACAATTACGTAAATAAATTGCTGCCGGGCAGGAGGGAGAGGTGGAAAGAAAGACGGGTTTAGAAGAGGAGAGGAGAGAAGGGGGTGAAATTGCCAGGACCAGCACGGAGGAGGAGGGGGGCTTTCACCATCACAAAGAGTCAATGAGAGGATTTATTTTTTTTAGGAGGATTTCTTGCAATTATCGTGTCGATCTGAAACATTCCGCTTCCGAAATAGCCCTATAGATTTTTTTTGTTTTTATTTATAAGTTACATTTCTCCTTTCTCTCTCTCTCCCTCTCTCTCTCTCTCTCTCTCTCTCTCTCTCTCTCTCTCTCTCTCTCTCTCTCTCTTTTTCTGTCCATGCATTGCAAAAAAAGAAGAAAAAAAGTGACAATTATCGGTAGCATTTTTATCCTTCATCTGAAATCGCGAGCAGGAACATCTGCAAGATAAGTAAGCCCGTTTGATCCTATTCTGGATACAAAAAAACAAAAACAAAACGCGCACACACTCAGAGAGAGAGAGAGAGAGAGAGAATCAAACTTAATTAGATCAATCCGACTGCCCCGCTTATTGGCAATTAGCGCTGTCGTCGCGTTGGGTCCGGGAGGAAAGCTGCGCTGAAAGCGGCAGCAGGAGTCCCGCAATTTTTAAAGGGTCCGTTTTGCAGCAGACAAACCGACGGATGGGGTTGCATCGAGCGGATTTGCGATCTCGGTCTCCTCTCCAGTGCCTTTTTGTATCGTCCCGACGCCGAGCGCGCGCACACACACGAGTCAGCATGCACGTGCACAACAGAGAGGAAAAAGCCACGCGTGGAAATAGAGGTTTACATGCTTTTCGGACTTTTTATCATCATTATTTTTGGATCCGAGTGGATGGATGTGTCTGTTAAATCACTGATAAGCCAACCGAGCATCGTCAACTCTTGCATTCATACTGCTGCTTGTTGCCTTTTTTTTCGTCGTTTTTTTTGTTTTTAACGTGGAAAATTGAGAGGACTCTGTGATACAGACAGCAATAAGTCAAAAATCCCTGCAGGTTCTCTAAGGTGTTGCACGAAACAGCAGCAATCTGAAGTTGTTGTTGTTTTCTCCTCCTCTCTCTCTTTCTTTCTCTCTTTGGAAACTTGATTTTTTTTTGTGCCATCATCTCCCCCGGCAGCCTTTTTAAGATCTAAAGAGGAAGAAGAGAGAGTGTCGTTGATCAGTAAAATTATGGAAGTTGACTGGAGCTCGGAGGACGGATTTCATGTCATGAGGTTGTCAGTCGTCCGTCGACTCCACCTTCCCACCGCCTCTCGTTGAAGTCCGCGAAGAGGAACACGAATCTCCCGACGAGGGGAGAGGAGAGTGGTGGTGGTGGTGGTGGGGGGCCGATATCTGCCAGAGAGGTACTTACAAACTCAGGAGGGAGGACCGAGAGAGAGAGCTGAACATCGCCGTCCCTCTTCCCCTACCGTCCCCCCCGAGCGGTGGGGGAACGATCAGAGACATTTCTTAACGGGAGGGAGGAAGAAGGCGGAAATAAAGGGAATACATAAGCCCTGAGTGGATATACAAGCCTCTCTCTCTCTCTTTTTTTTTTTTTTTTTTTTTTGTTTGTTTTGTTTTTTAATTCGTCAAAAAAATATGGCCGATAATGTCCTGGAGTCTGGCCCGCCTTCAGCCAAGAGGCCCAAGCTGGCTTCTCCGGCTCTGTCTGTGTCCACCAGTGATGGAAATGGTAAATATTATCTGCTGCTTTTTTTTCTCCGGCGTGAACTAGCTTAGAGATTGGTGCTTGTAGACTTGCTCGCTCCGAGCCCGGAGTTGTTACAGAGTTGCACACTTCGTATCTTGCTTGCTAAAATGACTTTTCTGGGCATAGATATTGTAAAAGAACAAAAATAGTTAGGTGGGGAAAGTGTAAATCTGAGTGCCGTGGTTGCTTTGGTTTAAAGCTTTTCCAGTCCCGAAGCAGGAGCAACTTTCCAGCACTTGTGTTTTGATACGTTAGCCTCAACAGGCTAACTAGCCGCAACTAAAAAGATCCTCCTCCAAACAATGGACGAGTCGAAGACACCCCACTTCGCCTAAACTTGCTTTGCCACTTTAAAAGTTATTAAAGTGAACACATACGGGGGAATACGCGACGAAGGTCGAGTTTCAGAGGTGTTGATTTTTTTTATAACGGCAAATAAACGTTTTGAAACTAGCTTTTAGAGCTCGTAACTGAAACCGAGTTAGCTAGCTAACTAGCTAAAAAAAAAATACACCCCCACCGGAGAGCAACTCAGCTGAGCTCCGTGATGGAAAATAGCTCGTTCGTTTAAACATTATTTTTTCATTGTTTTTGTAATTAAATCAGTCCCCGAACCTATAGCGGACGTAAATATTTTTTTTATTTCGAAAAACGTGTATAGATGACGAGAATGCTAATGTTTTTAACACAACTATTGTCAAGCTAGCTATTGTTCAACACTTGATTAAGTTGGGCGAAGCGGCGTTGACCAGCTGAAGTTGCAGCGCTGCCCATGTAAACACTTCGATCCAGTTTAACAGAGAATCCAAATCGGACGTGTTTCTTCGAGCGTTTTCTTTGAAAATTCTCAGATTTTATCCGCTGGCTTTTAATGAATTCATCCAAATATGCTGTAGCGGAGCTAATTATTCATCCTCCATTGTCTGCATGGCAGGACTGCTTCACTTTTGCAACAATAAATTGTAGCCAACTGAACGCATTTCACCCTGAAATAACAATTAAAGCAAGTGAATTTATTACTAAAAGCACTATAACGTAAATCCTCATTGTCATACTTTTTCCAACCCAGAATTTCAAACCCGATTCTTATTTTCTTGCATCCACCTCTACTCTGTTTATCCTTTATTTAATGTTAATGTTCTTCCTGCTCCAATCACACAACTTCCCATGCTCTCCAACCTCAGAACTGCAGAACCACCTGGGTGCAGTAGTGTTTACCTTTTGCGGCTTCTCACCTTGTCCCCACTGCGTTTGCTCTCCATGTATGGCAATCCACCAAACCACAAGCTGATGCCTGGGAGAAAAATGTTGGGATGGGAGAAGCTTGTCCGTTTAACGTCAAATACTCTCATGAACTCCAATGTATTTATTGGGGTCTTCTGTCATATGATGACCTGAGCAGGTTGCCTGATAACATTAATGAAGAGTTGTACGTTTCGGAGAAGAGCAGATAGTTTATAAGAGAAACCAGTGAACGGTTTGAAGACTTTTGTACAACTGCAAATCTACCAAGACATGAGCATCACAGGACAGTATTCAAGAAACCTGTAGTGACTGAACGCAGTAGTGAGACGCAGACTTCCACTGTCCCCGTGGGAGAATCTGCTGGCAAAATCTCTGCGTTCTACAAATCTGGCTTTTTTTCTTCTTTTTTTTGGATGATTGGAAGGAAGAAAGCCGTTGTTAAAAGAAAACCATAATTCCAGATTAGACTAAACATCTTTGTCCACCAACTAAATATCACAGAGTTTTACATGACCAATTTGGAAGCAAAAATGTCCTCTCAGCAGGACAGTGAGCTGAAATTTACAGCCGGGGTTATGAAATTGTTTTGATGAAATTATTTTAATGTATCAGAATTGATTAGTCTAAGATGAGATGTTTAATAATATTCACAGCTGTTCTTTGTCCAGTCTGATGGTAATTTGAGGTGTTTTGCAAAGAAGAGTGGTCAAATTTTTCTGTCACCTGGTGTGAAAGGTCAGTAGACTTACAGCAATAGCTGTTGCCAAATGTGATCCTAATATGGCTCAGGAGTGCTGAATACAAATTCACTTGAATTTTTTTCCTTTTACTTCATAATAAGACTCAGCGACATAGCTCAAATATATATTTTTTCCAATTTAAGTTGACCAGAATTCAAAGTAGAAAGAAAAAAAAATTAGCTGTGAAATGTGCTGTAAAACACGTCAAACAAAATGGTGGCTCTGGATTAACATCACTCTGAACTATGAAAACCTAAGGAGTCCAAAAAATTTATTTCAAAAATTTATTCTTCGAAAACAGAAAATTCAGGTAATTGGAAAACTATATTTGATTGTAAAATCCTGATTAAAACACTGAAATTTGTGATTGTAACATGACGCTGCCTAAAAAGTACGAGGCTGAATATCTTTGCTTGACGCTAACTTTTTAAGCTTTGTGTGGTGTTTACATAAAGCTTGGAACGTTTTAAAAAGTAATCGACCACTCTTGATTTATTTATTTAATTTTTCTTTAACCTAGATTTTGGTTCATTCTTTGACCTGGAGCATGACCTGCCAGACGAGCTCATCAGTTCCTCGGACCCGGGGCTGACGAACGGAGGAGACGCCAGCCAGTTCCACGCCAGCCTCGGGGGCCTCGGCGGAGGGGTTCAGGATGCGGCCTCCAAACACAAACAGCTATCTGAACTGCTGCGCGGTGGGGCACAAACGCAGCCAGGGGCCCCCACTTCCAACAGTGCCCCCCCTGCGGCTTCCCCGGCGATGATGGGGGGAGTCAGTGGACCTCAAGGCATGCACCACCAGGGCCAACAGCAGCAGCCGCAACCCGGACAAATGCAGCAGGTTGGCATGGTGCCGACCAGGGCGACGGCCATGATGGGTGTCCAAAAGGGCACCGCTGGACAGCAACAGCACCAACACCAAGGCCTTATAGGGGGGCAGGTTGTGAATGGCTCGCCCAGAATGGGTTATCCTGGCAACACAGGAATGGGTAGCAATAGTAATATTTTGGCAGAGACCTTACAGCAGCAGCAGCAGCAGGGGGGTCCAAGCCTGGGAGCTGGGGGTCAAGCGGGGATGAGACCACATCAGCCTGGTGCACTAAAACAGGTAGGTACTAAACCAAACCTTACAGTTTAGGAATTTAGATGGAAATTAGGTATGTACATATTTAGTTAATCGTTTGATGTATTTGACGGCGCCACTTGAAATGAATATTCAGTTTTTAAAATATAAAACTTTTTAAAAATAAGTTCTATATGTATAATGTATAAATATTTTAACAAATTTGTTTTATTTTCATGTATCGATTGAAGGAAATTGCTGTGTGACCTGAACATGATTCTCCGGAGGAGGAGGCATCATTTTCAATCGGGGCCACGCCCCCCCATTGCTCTCCCCTTATGGGCACCACTGCTTTATCTCCTCGATAAGAAAACTAAATATGCTCTCAATGTTACAAATATCGTAAAAAGCTCATAAAATGTTTGTGGCTTGTGTTAAAATTCGAAGCGATTGACTCGTCAGCATAGATCATGTACGTTCGCAGCTAAAATAGGCAGGGAAGTTTTTGCCAACAGAGTTAAATGGGTAGATAAGAAGCTGGAGTTTGCGCTGAAACTCTGAGGATGAGCTTTTCTACAGCAGGTGCAGGGAAGAGTGCGGTTATGTGTCGGGACTCGCAGCTGCTGCAGAGTTAGCTCTGTGGTATTGATGGTTAACCTCCCTGCTAGTCAGAACACCACATTACAGTTGTGATTTTTCTCCCAAACAAGTACAGAAGCATCTCTGTTAACCTTAAGTAGCTAGAAGGAGCCTTTTCCCTGCACCTAGCTGTAAATAAGACATAAAATATTTTTGGGGTTTCTCAGCGTTTTCCCCAAGACGTATTTGGGATTTTAAAAAGCAAAGCGTATCAAGAAACCAACACTCATCCTCAGCATCCTCATGCTGTTTCCTGTGTGTTTCTCCATCCGTCTCCAGATGAATTTGATGCCCAACACGGGGTCCTACGGTGGCCCATACAGCCATTCTGCCGGCCAGGGGCTGCCTGGAGAGGGGCTGGGCCCACAACTCCAGAATAAAGCAGGCCTACCCAGTGGCATGGCCGCCCAGTTCAACATGGACAAGAAGACGCCTCCTGGTCAAGGCATTCCGGGGATGGTAGGATTTGTTTTACTTGTATTCTCTCACAGATACAAGTTATTATATTGCTAATATAATATATTAGCAATATTATATTATATTATTACAATAAAGTAAACTTTTTTTTTTTTTCAGTTTTGGGTCAATTTTGTTCTTTCAGCCAAATGGCCTTTATTCACTCTGTATACTCCAGCTACTGATTAATTCTTAAATTAGTTAATGATTAATTAATCGATTTATTATTATTAAATCCGATTAATCATTCCAGCCCTAGAAATTAGTCAATATCACTTTTATCAGCTCTCACCGGTGATTTTCGGGTCACAATATCATTTTTTTTGCGTGTGAAATTGAGTCAGAACTAATAAAACCGCAGCAGGAAGTGTTTTTATTTTTTTTTTTATTTTTTTATTTTTTTTTTGAGCTGATTAACTTTATGCTCACAAACAACAGCCTTGTTTAAGGAATAAAAGCATAAATTGCGTTGTCCTCTCTTTTTGCGGTTGTTTTTGTTCTGAGACAAAAAAGGGGTTTCCAACAGCGACCGACGCAGATACTCCTTACTTTAAATTCGATTAAGCCGTTAGCAGGGCTTGCCGTTGCCACATCTCTTAAGTAAACCCCCAGAAAGTCACATGACTATGATCCACCTCCTGTTTGGAGTAAACATAGAGGAGAATGGCGGCATATCCAACTAAAACCGTTAGCGCTCGATGCAGACTGTTCCCAACAGCACATAAAGTTAAAACAAGATGATCTATGTGTCGGTTTGCTTCCCTTGTTTTGGCGATGCATTCATTGACAAACAGTTCATTACTAGCTTTTTCATTCATTTACCTACATTTTTAAAGTTCTGGCAAAAAAAAAAAGCCAAAGTACATAAGAATTAGTGGGCTCTTCACTTGTGAGTTGTAATAAATTTAGGGCAAATCAAAGACTTACCAAAACAAAAGGAAAAAAAGAGTTTCCTGTTTTTTGTTTCTTTTGTTTCTACTAATTAGTCAATACCAGGCAAAATGACAGGATTGTGTTTTGGGTTATTAGACTCAGACTTCCAAATGTGTGTTTTGGCATTAAGCACTAGAAGATTTCTGAAGTATGTTTAAATTAACTCCAGTTTAATTGAGCTTTTCCCACCAATTACAACCTCTATTTCAATAATCTTGGTGTCAAAATAAAGCCAACATTTTGAAAGTGTCACAGCAGCTGCTATAGTTTCAGAGAAAATGAGGATGGGACATTACATGATTAGGATTCTTTATGTGCGTTCAACAGTGTACAAACCATTTAAAGGCTACAGGCTTTTGGATTGACGTAGCTGAGGCAATCTAGAGAAAGTTTATAGAGGTTTTTACGAGAAAAAACTGGGGATTTCCTATGTTTTTAATTAGTTTTACACACATAAAATTACTTGTTTTTTATTAATTTTTTTAAAGTACCCACATTCACTTTTATCCAATTATAAGAATATTTTTTTAATTTGACTCTAATAAAATTGTTTATAAAATGTAGGAAAAGAAAAATGACGATAAATTTAGGCTCATTAGACTGAAAACAGGATTCCACCAAAATATACTTTTCTTTTTTTTTTTTTTCTTTTTTCGGGCACTACCTGAGCTCCATACAATGTCTTTTTGACGAAGGCTCCTGGTTACTGACTTCTGTCCTGCCGCAGCCGTGGTGCATGAACAAAAATGCTTCCTGCTCAATTCAAATGTTTTATGTTTTTTACCAGCTTTCAGCCAAGTGTCTGATGTTTCCACGGCTAAAAAATAGGTATATGTTTAACTATGTTTAGTAATGAGGATAGGGGGGGGGGAAGCTCAAATATATGTGGCGTGAGGCTCAACAAGAAACAAACCTCCCTGTTTAAGACTCATCTATTTCTCTGTTGTAGACCGCTCAGCAGCAGCAGCCGCAGCCTGGTGCAGCTGGCGGTGTGTCGATGTCGGTCGGTGGGCCCCAGGTTGGGCTGAATGCCGTCGGGGTGGGACCGGGCGCCACGCCCCCCACCGCTGACCCCGAGAAGCGGAAGCTCATCCAGCAGCAGCTCGTTCTGTTGCTCCACGCGCACAAGTGCCAGCGGCGGGAGCAGGCCAACGGGGAGGTGCGGCAATGCAACCTGCCCCACTGCCGCACCATGAAGAACGTGCTCAACCACATGACTCATTGCCAGGCTGGCAAGTCCTGCCAGGGTGAGTCGGCTAAATAATATCAAGTCCTATATTTTATTTATTTATTTATTTATTTATTTTTAAATTGGACATTGCAAGATATGCACCAGGTCTGCTTTCACTGTTTTCTGTCACTTTCTGGATTGTTCCCGGTTTTTCCCTCGTATCTAGGTTGAGTTATTCGCTCCTCAGCTGGCGGTTCCTCCATCATTTGTCTTTTTCTCCCGCTCTCGCTGAGCCTCCATCTGGACGCAGTTTTATAGCATTGAGTGACTCACACAAGATCTTTCTTAGTTTCTGCCTTCTGTCTTCGTTTTGACTCATTTTTTCCCTTTTTGCCTCGTTTTCTTGTGAACGAGGTCTCATTCTGTCACATTTTACACATCTCCTCGGCTCGCTCTCTTTTACACTTCGGCTCGTTTCGCCTAAACATCTGTATTTGTCTTCTCCCTCAGTTGCACACTGTGCCTCGTCCAGACAGATCATCTCGCATTGGAAGAACTGCACGAGACACGACTGTCCCGTGTGCCTTCCGCTGAAAAACGCTGGAGACAAGAGGAACCAGCAGTGTGAGTGTTTCTCGTCTCACTCTGCTGGCTGCTGTCGAGTAATGATGAACCAAGTTTAAAATCACCGATATTCATTTTTTCCCCCTCCTCTCTCTCTCCCTCATGTCGCTGCAGCTCTGCTCAACAGTGTCAGCTTAGTGAACTCTTTAGGCGGAGCGGGGCCAGGCGGGCAGTCGAGCTCTCCGGGCCTGAACCCTACCAACCAGATCGACCCGAGCGCCATAGAGAGAGCCTACGCCGCATTAGGCCTGACGTACCAGGGCAACCAGATGCCGCAGCAGCAACAACAGCAGCAACAGCAGCAGCCGCCACAGGCTGCCATGCCGAACCAAGTCCTTCACGGACAGCCGGGAATGAGGACTTCGAATCCACTGGGTCGGTTCTGTTCCTAATTCTCACAACGTTTAGATCCGGGGTGTCCAAACCGTTTAGCTCCACGGGTCAAAATCGAAACTATTGAAATGGGGGATAGTTTTAATATTTTGAGAATAGCCATAATATTGCAAAAATCAAGGCACGATGTTCCTAAAATGGTCATATTTTGAGTATAAAGTCAGAATATTCTGACTTTATACTACTAATTTTATTTTATTTTTCAACTTGTTGGCCAATTTTTTACCAGTCTTGCCATCTGGTATGGAGAGAACAGAATCATTTCTAGGGCCATAAAATGGTGGGTGGTTAGCTTTTTTTATGCCCATCTTGAAAAGATGAAAGGTTTGTTGCCAATTTTTTTTTTTTTTTCCCGTACATTTCTGTCACAACACTGGTCTTTCATTCACTTAAGGCGCTCTTGAAACGCCTTAAGATTGACTCGGTGAAACGTGCAGAAACCCCGGATGTAGTCGAGGCGTCTCGATTAGACTTGAGGCACCAAGTGCAGCCAAAGGCTTGTTCTGCAAAGTATTGACCTGGTGGCGGCTGGAGTCCAACATATCGATCTCATCCCGGTTATTACTTATGAACTACGTTGCATGAGAGTCCAATAAAACTGACCTAATAAACTGCTTTGCCTTTCACGACCAGGTGGTAACTCCATCGGAGTGAACGGTGCCGTCGGGGTGCAGCCTCCGAACCAGCAGTCCGCGCTGCTGCCAGATGCCATGCTGCACAGCATGAACGCGCAAAGGCAAGAGCGGCTTCGGCTTTCTGTCTTCGCATCGATGCGGTTGTCATTTTTGGCAAATTTTAAATCAGCGAGGGCTGAAAACGTTGAGGTGTTGTCTCGTTCTCTCCCAACCCCAGTTTGATGAACGATGGCGTCGGGAACCTGGGCTCCATGCCCACGGCCATGCCCCCTTCCGCTGCAGGGATGAGGAAGTCTTGGCATGAAGACATCACGCAAGACCTCCGCAACCACCTCGTCCACAAGCTGTGAGTCGGACTGTCCTTCAGCTAAGCACATGGAAAATGCGTCAAATAGATCCAGATCGCGGTCATCTGCTTGGAGAAATCCCCCGTTCTCAAACGTGTTTCCGTGCGAACAGAGTGCAAGCCATCTTCCCCACTCCTGACCCCGCGGCGCTGAAGGACAGGCGGATGGAGAACTTGGTGGCCTACGCCCGGAAAGTAGAGGGAGACATGTACGAGTCGGCGAACAGCAGGGTAGGCGTCCCTCGCGCAGAGGACAGAGAAACGCGCCGCGAGCATGGGATGTTTGCTGTTAGTGTTGCGTAATTTCCTCCCACCCTCCTGCTGTGCTGCGTCCAGGCGGAGTACTACCACCTTCTGGCGGAGAAGATCTACAAGATCCAGAAGGAGCTGGAGGAAAAGAGGAGGACGCGGCTCCAAAAGCAGGGCATGATGCCCGGCCAGCCTTGCCTTCCTACGTCTGGCCAGCCCCCGGGGCCCCCAGGCCCACCCGGACAGCCTCCCAGTAAGTAAAGAATACCCGAGTTATCGGGCTGTCGTGTTGGGACTCTTGGTAAAAATGAGTTAAAACCTTGAAATAATTTCACACAGTTATTAGAGAAATTTTATTTAGTGTGGGGAAAAACGTTCAGGTTAGGGGCGGGCGATATGGACTTAAAGTTTTATTATGATATATTGTGGTTCTGTTTTGATAATAATAATAATAAGAACTATTTGTTACATCTTTTTTTAGGCTGTGTGTCACTGCATTTATAGCCCCACTAGCACAAATCCTGCTCTTGGAAAACATTCCTCTTTGCTTCTTTAGGACACCAGTCACATAAAGATGTCTATATAGATAAAGACTTATATCAACTGCATTTAATCATATTTTCCAAATTTATTGATCGTTGAACAAAAGGAAGAAAATAGTAAAGCTTACAATCTCGATGATGGACAATTTATGAGTGTTTTCAAACAAAACCAAGCAGAATTTATCAAGATAATAAAAAATCAAAATTATCATCAGAAGTTTTTTCACAGTAAATGATAAACGATACAAAAAATGTCCACTTTGTAAAATGACAAAGTGGACATGTAAGTGTTTTGAACTGGTGGCATTATTACTGTTTCCCTAATTGTATTAAAAACTAAATTATATTGTGTTTCATTGATTAATTTAATTAGACTTTCTCTTCTAATCAGCAATCTATGAATTTATATTCCATAGGATCACATATAATTTTTTTCTTTCCTTTCCGAAAACATACAAACTATTTATGTTGAGTTTTTAAAAAAAAAAATTTAATTCAAAATGTGTGTTTTTTTTCTACTGCAGTAAAACACGATTTATTGTGTTTTTAAAAAACATCCCTGTCAGAAATGCTTACATGGTCGCTCACCTGTGAGTTTTCTGTTCGGAAGTGAAAACATTTTTTGTGATGGATTATTCTGGAACTTTGTCCTCCTTTCAGATGGTCCTCATCCCGACCCGTCCATGATCAGACCTGCTGGTCCAAATCAGATGGTCAGCAGGATGCAGAACCCACCAGGTATGTCCGTTTACCCCGAAAACTTGAATCATAACTCGCAGTAACTTGCATCGACTTGGTGTCATCAAAAGTAAATGGTTTCTACTTATTTTAGGTGAAGATCCTGATCATGTACAATCATAACATGATGCCATTTTAATAATTATTCTAATTCCTTTTTGATGCTTTTAGGAATGACTCAGTTTCCTCAGATGGGGATGCAGAATATGGGTCAGAGGTCAACACCTCCTCTTCCTCACAACCCTCAAATGAACCAGGTTAGCCGATGTGTCTTACGATGTCGCATATCTTTTTTGGGGATTGAAACCAAATTGCTTTGTGTTGCTTGAAGGAAATTAAGAAATTGATGCATTGCTTGTTGTTGTTTGTTTTTGTTTCCAGATGGGAATGGGAGCAACACGTATGGGTCAGCCCAATGCCCCACAGCCTCACACCCAGTACCTTCCCCCAGGCCAGTTTCCTGGCTCCAGTCCCGGTCTCGGTTCTGGTCCTGTTGGGATGAACCAGCCTGGAGCGCAGGCTGCGGTGCCTTCTGTAAGAGTCACACTTGGAGTTCGTCTCCTAAACTTCGAAAGTTTTCCTGTTTTATTGACTTCTTTATGGGAAAGTTTTAAAGGAGCAGTGTCATGTAAAATATAGCAGCTGGAGGTGGCATAGCTACTTGATAGTGCTAGAAAATGTCACTATATGTGTAGAAAACACACAGTACTTTCCCTTTAATACAAAAATATCCATTTTGTGTCTGACCCACTTCAGCAGAACCAGATGTCGACGCCTCCATCCATCCCCGCCAGCAGCCCTGTGGGGCAGTCCGCCTCCTCGGTCCCGTGCTCCGGGGGACCTTTTGGTCCCTCGAACGGCAACGGTCCCGGGCCGCTGCCCAACCTCCACCCACCCTCCACCCAGCCCTCCCCATTCCCTCACTGCCCGCCCGTCCGCACAAACTCCCCGTCGCCGGCGCGCAGCCTGACGCCCCAGCCGCATCAGACGCCACCTACGCTGCCCCGCTCTCAGACACCTCAGCCACAAACCCCAAACACACCGCAAGTGGCCACCCCACAACACTCCCAACAACATCAGCAGCAACAAACGTCGCAAATGCTGCATCCCGCTCCATCGGAAAAACCCAGCCAGTTTCCACAGCAAACAGTTGGGGGTGTTGCATCTCCAGAGCCCCCGGCAGCTCAGATTCCCTCGGTGCCGACCCAGAACGATCATGTGCCACCGCTGCCGCACACCCCAGTGAGTTCACTTCCAAATAATATTGAATAGAAAAAGCTGCACTTGTGATCCTTAAACTGTTCCCTTCTTCTCAGCCCTCTCCTAAGACTTCCCTGACAGCTGAAGGACAAGTTTCGTCCCCGGCGTCAATTACAAGCAGCTCCGCCCACAATTCCCAGCTCGCTCCCGCAGAGAGCCTCGCTCAGAGCCAGGACAACATGAAAGTAAAGGTGGAAAAGGAAGAAGAGGAGGAGGAAGAGGAAGAAGATGATGTAGGGGGCGACACTGAGGGAAACGGCAAGGGGAAGATGTCCAAGGCTCAGTCTGAGGTGAAGAAAGAAGAGAGACCAGAGGTAAGATTGTCCAAACTCATCTCTATGCATGATAAATGTTGGATATCAACGATGGGGAAAATTCCCACACTAAAACTCCTAATCGTCCTCGCAGATTGAGGACGAGAAGCTGCGAGGAGACGGGTGTAAAGCTGAGCCCATGGACACGTCAACGTCTTCTGGGTCGGCGGTGGCGGCGGCAGCATCGAGCGAAGACAAGAAGCCGGAGGTGAAGAAGGAGCCCAAAGAGGAAGAGCAGGGATCAGGGTCACCAGCCACCAACAGCTCCTCAGCCAGCAGTCAGAGCAAGAAGAAAAGTAAGCAGAATGTCAAAGCGATGAGGTTAATTCATTTAGAAAACACTAACTAGACATTTTGAAGTTTTCCTCATTCAGTCCCAAATCTAAATGTTTAAGCAGGTTATCATAACGTCTCAATAACGTTATGATATTGATTGTTGGCTTAGCCAATGTTGGTGTCCAAACTTTAAATATTTTTATATTGTTCTGCTAAATAGCTGCTAATGAATCCTTGCTAGCTACCCTTTTTTTGCTTTTTGGGACTGTCTTGGGTTAGTTGGACGACATTCGTCTTCGCCAGTGGCTCACATCTGTTGCTCCGTGCATTCTGGGTGAAAAAAAGCTTAGCACTACTATATAAAATATACAATTTTTCTTTCTACATTTCTGTCGTGGTACAGGCCTTAAATTTAATTCATGGGAGTCATAAAAAGTATTAAATTTTGAGTTGAGTGTAGAAACGCTGAGAGGTAGCAAGGTGATTTTCAGTTATCGTTCATCTATCGTTTCACACTCAACCCGTCTGAGTTTATGTTTCTGAGACTCAATCATGGTAATCTGACTTAAAAATGATCTTTAAATTATCTGAAGCATTTTTTGATGTACATTGTGAATTTTATCACGTTTATTTCAAAGACATTGTTACAGGTACCAATAGTTGTTTTCTAAAGTGGGAGTTTTTCCCCCCAACAAAATAAATCTGCTTAATAAGATGGAAGCATTTAAAAATGTATTGATTTTTTTTTTTTTTACACATATTTATGTTGTAGCCCTGGTTCTGTATTTTCTATTCTGTATGTGTTGAGGGTGTGAATAAAAGATTCGGTTTGTATTTTCCCCACCGGTTGACCCGGGAGCACTTTGACCTGCAGAGATTTCAGTTCAAGTGGTTCTGATATCTGTCTTCCTTCCCCTCCAGTCTTTAAGCCAGAGGAGCTGCGCCAGGCCTTGATGCCGACCTTGGAGGCATTATACCGCCAGGACCCTGAGTCCCTTCCCTTCCGCCAGCCGGTGGACCCCCCGTTACTGGGAATACCCGTACGTATTCGAACTAGTAACAAAACTAACCTGGTAAGGGACTGCACTGGCTGCCATTTTGCTTCAACTCCATCCTAGCATACCTATTTTTTATTTATTTTAATTTTTTTATGTACATTTTTTTTCCTCCCCCACAGTTACTATAGTTTTTACAATCATATTTTTTTGTCTTTTTGTTGCTGCTTTTTGTTTTGCTTTTAATTTTTTTTAATTGCATGCTGAAACCGTACAAAATGATATTTAGGCTTGTGTGTGTGTGTGTGTGTGTGTGTGGTTGTTGTATTCAGATTGTAAATCAAAGCAGTGGCTCTTATGAACTATTATTGCATGACAAGAACATTACAGTTTTGTCTTTCATTGATTCCAAGATCGCTGCACACTTTATTTGAATGAACATAAAGTGGAATTCATTTTTTAAAAATTGTGGTTCATGAGCCAGATGCTTTTATTTATGCACCTTTTTTCTTTTTTTTTTAAATAATTAATCTATTTCATCCTCATAAACCATTGCTAGCTTTCTAACGCATTTCCTCACCAGCAGCGGTTTAACAGTGTTCAGGTTGGAGGCGCTGGGGGAGGGGAGTCTAAAATAGACCAAAGCCGCAGATCAGCAAGACCACGTCTCCCAAGTCCTCCGACGTCAAGTGATGCAACGTTTACAACGTCTTGCGATAGCATTAATTTCCTTTGACATTTTTCACATTTTGTAGCATCATAACTGCAAACGTCAGTGAATTTTGTTGGCAGGGTTTAATTGTGGGAAGAAAACATACATCGTTTTCAGTTTTATTTGTATTAATACCCTTACATGGCTATGATTTAATCTAAGTACAATTCAGACCAAGGCGCACAGCAGCCAAGTTTTAGCTTAAGATGTGAAACAGTATTGTAAGCTTTGCATGTGTGTCAAACTAACAACTAATCATTGACTATCTTCACAAGCAGTACAGGATGACTGCAAGCATACCCCTAAATCATGACCTTTGACCTGCACGGTGAGGTCAGGCAAGGATATTATGGAACATGTAAATAATAATGTCAAAATCAAACTGGTTGTAGTCTTTAAATTACATATATAATATAAAAGACAGTTGTTTTTTTAGCATTAGCTCCTTATAAATACCATGTTGCTGTAGCGCAGTAGCATGTGCTTCCACTAAATACCATATCGGCAGGTATTTTACCAACAAAACATTTTGTATATAAAGCGAATATTTTGTTGGTAGATGCCATGTAAGTATTTACTGGAAGCTAATGCTAAATTGCATTAACTTTCACTAAATGCAATGTTGGTATAGCAGCTTAGCAGTAGCCTCTGCTAAATATTGTGTTGGTATAGAGTTTTAGCTTTAGCATCCACTAAATACCATGCTGATATAATGCTTTAGCATTAGCTTTTGCTAAACAGTATGTTTAGCATTAGCTTCCACGAAATATGATGTTGATGTAGAGATTTTGCTCTAAATATCATGTTGGTGTAGCGATTTAGCGTTAGCGGAAATAATGTTTATCATCACTTTAATTGCCTGTTCTCTCCTCTCTGGAATGTAGTGTCTTGGGAAGAAACACGTTGCGGTTCCTGCTTAATTGTGAAAACAATGCATCGGTTCGGGTCCACTTACCAGTTCTGCACCGCTGTGTGTTAGTCCATCACATAAAATCCCAATGAAATTCACTGAAGTTTGTGGTTGTATGAATATTTCCGTGCAAAATGTTTTGAAAATATCTAGAAATCTCTCGATTCATTTCGTCTATTTTTCTGCCAAACAACTGGAGTGTGGCTCTGCAGGCTGTCCTGCTAATGTGCATCACTTGTTTGTTTGTGTGAGTGGCTCCATTCAGCTACGAGGGTCTTTTCATACCTCTTGTTGCCATAGTGACACTGAGATGGACCCTGCTCTTTCAAACTCACACCTATTGGTCTGTTTTCTTTCTCTCTCTCTTCGTTGTTGGAGCGCTTAAAATGCCTATTCTCCTGCTCGCTCTCCTCTTCGCTTCTCTGTCGAACGGTGCTGCGTTTTCAGGAGAAGCGAACTGGGAAACGGCTCGGCGAACCCTCCAGCCGCCGATGCGTTTGCTTCACCTCAACACTGTTGTCCTCAGCGCTGTCACCTCATCACCACTCATGCTGCTGGCATTGTAGCTAAAAGCGTAGCTCTGTCCTGCCTGTTGCTCTTCTTTTTTCATGGCTTTGCACCCTGGTCAGTTGCTTATCATGGAGGTTTTGTTCAGCCGTGTTTCCAAATCAGCGGCAATTGGTAGCGATTTGACCTATGACGTGCTGGTAAAATCTACTCGTGTCTTTGTTTAGATTTTACCAGCAGTTGACTGGTCTTCCGGCTGACGGGGCGGGACGGGTAGTTAGATTGGAAGTGTTGGGTGCAAAGCAGAGAGCTGGAGGGCAGAAGTTGTCATGTCTCTCTGTTTGCACATGAACCTTCTTCTTTGCAGCGCTCAACAACATTGTCCCCCTGCACCCTCTTCTCTCCCTACTCTGGTCCTGTCGGCTGCCTGCAATGCCTCCACCCCGGACGTTGACGATGACGCTGCTCCTCCTCCGTCTCCCAACTACGATTCAACCATCTGGCTCCTCTTTCCCCATCTTCTTCCTTTTCCCCCTCCTTCCTTTTTATTTTTCCTCAACTCTTCAACCTGACCTCTAACGTGGGCGACCATCCCAATCCAGGACTACTTTGACATCGTCAAGAACCCCATGGACCTCTCGACCATTAAGCGCAAGTTGGACACGGGGCAGTACGAGGAGCCGTGGCAGTACATCGAGGACATCTGGCTGATGTTCAACAACGCCTGGCTGTACAACCGAAAGACGTCGCGGGTCTACAAATACTGCTCCAAGCTGGCCGAGGTGTTTGAGTCAGAGATCGACCCTGTTATGCAGGGGCTGGGCTACTGCTGTGGGAGGAAGGTAAATCAGATTTGTATTTCCATTATCTGGTGGGTGGGTTCAGGAAAACAAAGGGATTCTTTTACTGGTAGATTGGAAAGGATGGTGTTCTAAAAATGCTGTAATAAAGAGAATGAGACGCAATGGTCTATGTTTAATCTACTGATATTGTTCTTGTTATGGACTGCAATAAAAACATCAGCAGGAACTGAAAGTAGCTTTATTTGCCAGATGCATTTTTACAAGCTACTAATGTGGCAATTCTTCTGATAAACCACATTATCATAACATTATTTTAACTTTTTTAATTTTGTTGACGTCTAAAGTCATTTAACTTCTATAGAAAAATGTTCTGTTGCTGACCAGAATAACAGGAAGGAGAACTTGTGATCCCAGCATCATTTGTGAATGAGTTGGTAGAATAATGGGGACATTTAATGTTATTTCATGGCTCTTTGAAGCCCGTTGATGGCATATATTTCAGTAAGTTTAAACATTGGACGTTTCTGAACTTGAAGCTGATGAGATGGAGAGGTGTGAATTGTTTTACCTTATTTATTAATGTCGATTTTTGTTTTTCTAACACTTCCCTTTTTGTTTTCTTTGTCTCTTCGCTTTTCCAGTACGAGTTTTCTCCCCAAACTCTTTGCTGCTACGGAAAACAATTATGCACCATCCAACGCGATGCTTCTTATTTTAGTTACCAGAACAGGTGAGACCCTTTTCAGGATAAACCTGCTTTCAGAACATTTATTGGATTTTATTTACTTGTTATTGAGAGAAAAAAAAATGAAGCTGCTGGGATCATCTAGTCCGTCGCTTTTTGTTTTCCCACGTTAAATAAGTTTCCTGCAGCGAAGCATCAGTCGGTGCAATCACAGGAGAGATTGATTTGTTGTGGCTTCAAATATTTACCGTGGCACCATCACCATCTTCATAGTTCACTGTTTTGTTTAGTTTTTTTATTATTATTTTCATTACGTTGTTCATAAAGTGGGCTCCCTTCTTCGCCGGTTTATTATTAGCGGCGCCGTTGTTGCCGCTGGCTAAGACCGCAACACCCCGAGGGCTCGTGTGTTTTCTGCCTGGGAGCCGGGCGCGTTTGGTTTCTCCACCAGAAGAAAGGGCGCCCACTTTTTGAATGAGAATAAAGGATGATGGTTTGCTGTTGCTTTATCTTTTTCCTCATTCACCTTTTCATATTTGGAGCCTTGTATCCTCGCTGCTCTGCTGCCCCACGGCTCCCAGTGCTCTCATGTTGCTGTAATGTTGTTGTTGTTGTTGTTTACCACTGAATGTCTGATGCTAATCTTTGCTTTGCCTTGGCTCTCTGTCCTCTGTTGGTTGTTTTTTTTTTTTTCCACCTCCCGTTCGCCCCTTCCCCTCTGTCTCTCCATTTGTCTTTATGTCCAACCTGTAACATCTTATTTTCCTTTCTTTCTTTTTTTAAAATTTTTTTTATATAATTAATTTTGACCTCTCCCCAATCTCCATCCTCTCCCCCCTCCTTCCTGTTTTTTTTGTCTTTCTTTTCTTTTACGCTTGTGCTGTCTGCATTGGCCTGCTTTTGGTGTGACCAATCATCCACTCCAAAATTAATGCGCAATCTCAAAACCCGCCCGCCCACACAAAAACTGCACATCACGATTGGCCTCTACCTACCTGGCGACGACCCACCTTGCCCTCCTTGCCTCCACCTGTGTGTGCGCGCTCCCCCGGCCTGCCCTGCCCCGCCCCGCCCTGCCCTGATTGGCGGCTGCTTCTTCGCTCCTTCTCTGTGATTGGCTGTGCTGATGACGAACGGTGTAGTTCACCAAAATATGGGCTTCTTGCTGACAGGTACCACTTCTGTGAGAAGTGTTTCAACGAAATCCAAGGCGACAGCGTTTCCCTGGGGGACGACCCCTCCCAGCCTCAGACGTGAGTACCGCCACACTCTTAAACACACAAAGCGCAGCAGCTGACCCAACTAAAACCGACTGACTGCGTTGGCAGATTTGATTGCATACAAGTTGTAATAGGCTAGCAGAACAGAGCTGTCGGTATGTTTTTACCGTGTGAGCAGATTTTTCAAAGTCCTATTTGACTCTACTGTAGGACTCACAGTCTGTCGTCTTTGATAAATAGAAATGTAGGGGTCCAGCTAACGATCATTGCAGCTATCGATTTTTTTCTGATGATTAATCGGATATTGGCAACATCCTGCAAATTTTTAATTTAGCCACCCGCGCATTTTTACACAATATTAGAAATATATTAAAATATCCAAATAATCAAATCAATTCATTTTGTGACATAAAAAATATTATTTAAATGCCTAAAATGCAGCATCATTCTTATCATTTGTTGCAAAACCTCCAGCTAGAAAAAATACTATTCTAATCTGTTCATTATATTTTTTTTAAGTAATTTGATGGGGAGAAGTTCCTCAATAGGAGTTTTTTTCTTTTTTTTCTTTTCTTTATTTTTTAGAATATATTTACAAAGAAGGTTTTATGTTAAATGCAACATTTACATTTTTCTGTACAGTAGCACCGGAGCAGATATCTGCATGGATTGTGTAAATACTTGAACTTGTGGTGTTTGTACTCAAGTTTATCATATTTTGAGGCTCTCATAGATACTTTACCACCTTATTCAACCACAGAAGGCTTTAAACAAACCCAACATGTTCCAAGACCCAGAAGTCTAAACGCTAATAGGATAATATAGAACAGTTCAGCGTCTCCTTGTCACTTTTTGTCCTCTTTCTTGCTGAAATTTTGATTTTCACAAAAAATAAGATCAGACTTTCAAACTTCGCTGACCTCTGATCACTCTGCCTGAAAAATTCCAGGTTCGGGTCAGCAAACGTTTTTCCATCTCTAAATAACTGCAGAGATGCATCGGTTGACAGCGAAACGGACAGAAGATACAAATGAAAGCTTGTCGTATATTGAATGAATATATATAATAAAACATACCCAAGCGTGAAGTACTAACCTTTTTTTTTTTTTTTTGAGCATTGATATGCAAATGAAACACAGATGAGCAGAGGGGTTTAATGAGTCGTGGGGGCTGGAAGAAAAAAAAAAGCAAAGAAAACATTTGCAACTAAAGTGGTTTTAAAAGAATTTAAATGAGTTACTTGCAGTGATGTTTAAAGTATTTAAAGGCCTTGTTATTGCATTGTGACCAAATCAGTTGCTATGGGCATCACATTTATAATAAAACAAGTCACTTTTAGTTATTTGAATGTTTCTGTATGTATGACTTTCTCAATTTATTATCTATATTGATAATATAGAAAGGTAATATTGTTATTCATCTTAACTGGACTGCACTGAAGAAAATCAGCCCAACTTAAAAGACATTATTTGATCATTCAAGTGATGCACATAAATGAATTGTTTTATCATATTTTTCTCCTAAAATATGTGGATTTAATACAGTCTCCGCTTCACAAAATTATTTAATTCTTTTGTGAAATGTGCTGGACTAAAGATTGTTAGTTTTGTTTTCTGCAACAATCAGAATCTCAGACTTGGAAAAATAAATGTAGCTGTAAAAAAAATTTTTTACTCAATCTTCAGAGAATCAAATCTATTCCCCTTCTTTCCCCCCCACAGGTCCATCAACAAAGACCAGTTCCAGAAAAAGAAGAACGACACGCTCGACCCTGAGCTGTAAGTGCTCCTCCTCCTCCTCCTGGTTATTTGACTCTGCACAGTGTGAACGTCCAGCGGAGCGTCTCAATATACATTTCCTGACTCTCGTTTTGTCTCTGCTCAGACTCGTGGAATGTATCGACTGCGGTCGTAAAATGCACCAGATCTGCGTTCTGCATAATGAAACCATATGGCCGTCAGGGTAAGGAGGCCATCATGAGCAACACACACACACACACACACACACACACACACCACACACACACACACACACACACACACACACAGTCTGTTGCTCAGAGTGTGTCTTGGTTCTTCAGAAGTCCTTTAGAAATAGTTGGGGTGGGGGAAAAGGTTTTGAAATATTAAAGAGCTATAATTCCTTAAAGTTAAACTCCCCTTCCTGTTTGTGTCACATAAGCATGGGAGCAACTTTTCAGTGTTAAGAGCTGATTTATTTATTACCATGATTTTTATTTATTTTTTTGTATTTCTCCTCCGTTTGCAGCTTCGTATGCGACAACTGTCTGAAAAAGGCCAATAAAGCGCGAAAGGAGAACAAATATGCAGCCAAACGTAAGTGAAGCTGTACAAGCGAACGTTCTGCTTTCGGCGACGTACGTCGCCCGCCGCACACTCTGGACTCTTAATGAGGGGAGTTTTTTTTTGTTTGTTTTGTGCCACTGGTTTGTTTTGTCGCAGGACTTCCTCAGACGAAGCTGGGGAACTACCTGGAGACGCGGGTGAACGACTACCTCAAACGGCAGAGCCACCCCGAGTCCGGAGAGGTCACCGTCCGGGTGGTCCACGTCTCGGACAAGGTGGTCGAGGTCAAGCCGGGCATGAAGTCCAGGTGAGCGCTCGGCAGGTTTCATTCTTCTTAAGCTTGGGTTATGTGTGAGTTTGACAAATAAGCAAGCAAAATGTTTTTGGTTCCCTTTTTCCGAAATTGTGTATATCGGTCTATGAAAGTTTTATTTTTTGTGCTTGTACGACTCTTAACTTTTCAAAAGTTTACTTTCATTTAGATTTTATTTTGAAATTATATTTACTTTTTCCACTGTGCTAGAAATTGTGCTGTGGTGTGACATGAAAACTGTTTTGTTTTAAATAAAAATGTTTTATTATATCTGCCAATATATATTTGTTTTTGTAAAAATGTGGCACAATTGATCATTTTTTTCTAATTAATCACACAAAAAACAACAAAGCTCCTTAATCGTACAAGATTTATTAATTATGTCAATAAGACCCTCGCTGATAACTTCTTTGTGTTCACTTGAAATTTACCTCAGTTTCTACTGACAAAGGTGTTTATTTGTCAAAATTATGAAGGTCACACCAAATGATGTATGTCGCGCTATGGGAAGATGAACTAAAGGAAGAAACATATATATATTTATATAGTTGTTTTGATCTTTTCTTGACTTTGTCGGCCATTTTGTTGCAGGTTCGTGGACAACGGCGAGATGGCCGAGTCGTTCCCATACAGGATGAAGGCCCTGTTCGCGTTTGAGGACATCGACGGAGCCGACGTGTGTTTCTTCGGCATGCACGTCCAAGAGTACGGCTCCGACTGCCCGCCGCCCAACCAGAGACGGGTGTACATCTCGTACCTGGACAGCGTGCACTTTTTCAAACCGCGACACCTGAGGACCGCCGTCTACCACGAGATCCTGCTGGGCTACCTGGAGTACGTCAAGAGACTGGGGTAAGACGAGGAGCGCTTGTGAGAAACGTAGAAGGCGGGTTTTAATGTGTGGACACTATAAACACAAAAATGTTTTGCGATCTCAGGTATACGACGGGACACATCTGGGCGTGTCCTCCTAGCGAGGGAGACGACTACATCTTCCACTGTCACCCGCCGGACCAGAAGATCCCGAAGCCAAAACGCCTGCAGGAGTGGTACAAGAAGATGCTGGACAAGGCTGTCGCTGAGCGAATCGTCCACGACTACAAGGTGACGCCTCTACTTTGTTTTTTGTTTTTTTTAAAGAAACCAAATTTTGTAAAAGTTTTTCTACCACTTCAAGTTCTTTCATTTTTTTTGACATTTTGTCATATCACAACCTCAGAAGTTACATTTTCTTGTTAATATGTGACCACAGTGTCACAGAAGTGTGAAAATAACATCCCGAAGGTACCGTTTACGATGAACACCTCGGTGGTGGCTGCATCATGCTGTGGCGATACTTTTCTTCTACAAAGACCAAAGAAGCGGGAAGATGAACTAAAGGAAGAACGCATGCGGGAAGACATGGAATCCCAGTAAAATTCATTTGAGTTTATATTTGTGAAATATGAATAAAAATTCACTCGTTTACAGCCGCACAGCAACAAACATCTAAAAAAAATATATAGACAACTCTATAATAAGGAAGGACCTACGGGTGAAATTAAAACTTCTGTGAGATAAATAAATGCAACAACTTTCTGAATTCAATTCAAATGAAAAGCAAAAGTTCTTCATTTATCCAAAAAGGAAATTAAATGTAACTAGTATCATTGAAGTATGTTGTGTGCAGCAAGGATCTCATTCCAACCATTTTTTTCGGGGGGGAAACTCTTAGGACATTTTCAAGCAGGCGACAGAAGATCGCCTGACGAGTGCCAAGGAGCTGCCGTACTTCGAGGGCGACTTCTGGCCCAACGTGCTGGAGGAGAGCATCAAAGAGCTGGAGCAGGAAGAGGAGGAGAGGAAGAGGGAGGAGAGCAGCACCTCCAACGAGAGCACCGACGTGAGTTGGGACAGGAATCCGCCGCGGTCTCGTCTTGCCGCCGTCGCCCGAACAGCTATTGACTCCGTTTTCGTTTAAACGCTCACAGGCCACGAAAGGAGACAGCAAGAACGCCAAAAAGAAGAACAATAAAAAGGCGAACAAGAACAAGAGCAGCCTGAGCCGAGCCAACAAGAAGAAGCCGGGGATGCCCAGCGTTTCCAACGACCTTTCCCAGAAACTCTACGCCACCATGGAGAAACACAAAGAGGTAAGTCTTTTTTTTTTTTTCTTTATTGCACCCATAAACTTTAGTGTGTTCTTCTGAAATTGATTTAAACACAATAAAGTCAAAGTGTGAAACACTGAAAAAGTGAGGGAGGAAATGTTCTCCGTTTCGTTTTGGCAGGTTTTCTTCGTCATCCGCCTGATCGCCGGCCCCACCGCCAACTCGCTGCCCCCCATCACCGACCCCGACCCCCTCATGGCCTGCGACCTGATGGACGGTCGCGACGCCTTCCTGACCCTGGCCCGCGACAAGCACTTGGAGTTCAGTTCCCTGAGGAGGTCCATGTGGAGCTCCATGTGCATGCTGGTGGAGCTCCACAACCAGAGCCAGGACCGCTTCGTGTACACCTGCAACGAGTGCAAACATCACGTGGAGACCCGCTTCCACTGCACCGTTTGTGAGGTAAGACTGTCCATGTTTCCGCTAGGAAATTACAAAATGTACACAGGATGTGTCTAAAATTAAGGCCTTAAATTAACTTAAATTTGTTTGAAAGAGTTAAATTGGCCCTAAATAATCACAGGTCTTGCGTTGTGTGGTGATATATCATTTAATCTTGTATATTCTATGTAGTCTATTTTTCTAGTTTAACTTTTCTGTCAGCAAAACACTTGAGTCATTTTTTATTGCTTCCTGTGTCTACTAATGGTAAATAGCTGCTAATATACCCTTGCTAGCTGGCAAAAGGTGTATCAGCTACATAGCTAATAAATAGCTTTAATATATTTGAGGTATGTAGCCATAGCAGCAGGAACCATTGGTTTGTTTCCTTCAGTGAGAAGGAAACAAACTTTTCTAGTGAGCTAGCTTGCTTTTTTGAGTTAGTTATGGTTTAAGAGCAACTTTATTGCCAGTTGGCTGGACGACATTCGTCTTCGCCACTGGATCGTTTCTATTTCCAACTCGTACAATGCTGCATTCATTCTGAGCTCGTCACTGCAGGGATTACGGCTGTTTCTTCGGTCCATGTCCGTTTTGAAACGGGCCTTAAATTTAAAATTAAACTGCTCCACGGCACTGGTCTTTAAAAAGTGGTTAGTTTGAGCTGGTGAGACTCGCACTAACCCCGCAAATTCATTTAGCGAAATGAAGGCCTTAAAATGTTCTGGCCTTGAATATGTTAAGCACAGGTCTTAAAGTTTTATCATGAGAGAACTATTTCATCTTGTTTTTCTCACAGGACTTTTCATTTTCAGGCAAAGAGTCACATTCAGACGTCTTCATTACATTCTGAGAGTCTTTTGAAGCAAACCGCTAACTAGCTGCTAATATATCCTTCCAAGCTCATTCTTTTGCGTCTCACCCTACAATTTGCCCGTCTCTGCACATCCACATGTACGAGCTGAAAATGTCACAGACACGAATTCATTTTACCTTTTTTTTTTCCCTTCAGGACTATGACTTGTGCATCACCTGCTACAACACTAAAGGCCACGAGCACAAGATGGACAAACTTGGGCTCGGCCTGGACGACGACAGCAGCAACCAGGCGGCGGCGGCCACTCAGAATCCGGGCGACTCCCGCCGCCTCAGCATCCAGCGCTGCATCCAGTCGCTGGTCCACGCGTGCCAGTGCCGCAACGCCAACTGCTCCCTCCCGTCCTGTCAGAAGATGAAGCGTGTCGTGCAGCACACCAAGGGCTGCAAGCGCAAGACCAACGGCGGCTGCCCCATCTGCAAGCAGCTGATCGCGCTGTGCTGCTACCATGCCAAGCACTGCCAGGAGAACAAATGCCCCGTCCCATTCTGCCTGAACATCAAGCAGAAGCTCCGGCAGCAGCAGCTGCAGCACCGGCTGCAGCAGGCGCAGATGTTGAGGAGGAGGATGGCCACCATGCAGCGGGTGGGCCAGCCTGCGGGGGCGCTACCCGGGGGACTCATGGTGGGGCTGCCGTCGCCAGGAGCCAACAATGCCACGGCGCCAAGTACGCCCACGTCGGTCGGCACCCAGCCGCCGACCCCTCACACCCCAACTCAGAACATGCCTCCGGTCCCGGCGCAGGGCATGGGTCCTGGAAACGGGATGCACCAGCAGCAGCAGCAAGGAGCGATGCCGAGCCAACATCTGCTGAACCAGTTCCAGCAGATGAGTGGCGGAGCAGCTGCAGCGGGAGGGATGATGAACTCTCCCCAGCAGCAGCAGCAGCAGCAGCAGCAGCAACAGCAGCAGCAGCAGCAGCAACAGATGCTTACTCAGATGCCGCAGCAAAGTGTCCCGGGGGGCAAACCGCACCCGCCGTACTCCGGCAGACCTCCAGGCTCCTCCCCCATCCATCAGTCCCAGGGGAAACCATTGATTGGCTCGTCGACGCCGCCTCAGCAACCCGGTGGGGCTGTGATGGCCGGCAACGCGGTGGGGCAGCAGCCTCCTGGCCAGCCGCCCCCGTCCGGCCCCCCGCCAGCAGCCGTGGAGATAGCCCTGAAGATCCAACAGGTGGCCGATGCCCAAAGGAGGCTGGGCCTGCAGAGGCAAGCCGCGGCAGTAGCCGCGGCAACGGGCATGATGCCGTCTCACCCACACCACCAGCCGGGTCAGCCGCAGCAGATGGCCATGGGGCACAGCGGTCCCATAGGGATGGTCGGACCGCAGGGGATGCAGCCGCAAAACCAAACGGCTGTAAGACCCCACGTGGATCAGCAGCAGGGTGCGATGCAGGGGATGATGCACATGCAGCAGCAACCGCCGCCGCAGGGTAACCTGCCACCACAGAGGATGGGCGCGCCGCTGCAGAACCCGCAGCAGCCGCAGCAACAGCAGCCGCAGCAGCAGTGGACCGGACCGGGGATTCCACCCCAGCAACGGCAGGCGATGATGAACCAGATGAGCCATCAGGCCATGATGGCAGCGCAGCAGCAGCAGCAACAACAGCAGCAGCAGCCATCGCATCAACCAGCTCAGGGGCATGCTGCCATGATGAACATAGCGCAGCAGCAGCAAGGGTCAGCTGGGGGGAACATCCCCCAAGCGGCTCTGCAGGAGCTGCTCCGCACCCTGCGCTCCCCCAGCTCTCCGCTGCAGCAGCAGCAGGTCCTCAACATCCTGCGTTCCAACCCGCAGCTCATGGCTGCTTTCATCAAGCAACGAGCCACAAAATACAAGGGCGGACCTGGCGGAGCGGACTGCGTCCCAGGAGGGGGGCCGGGCCCCGCTGGGGGGCCGGTGGGACACGCCATGCCTGGAGTCAACCCACAGGTGAACATGAACGCTGCGAGTGGCCAGCCAGGGCTGCACATGGGGGGCCAGGGAGGAGCCAACATCAACATGGCATCTATGTCTCAGCTGCAGCAGCTGCAGCAGCAACAGCTGCAGCAGCAACAGCTGCAGCATCAGCAGCAACAAAGGCCGATGCTGAGCAGTTTGCAGCAGCAGCAGCAAGGAGTGGGGCGAGGTATACAAGGTCAGGGATCGCAGATGGGAAACATCAACAATCTCCAGGTGCGAGAGTTGCTTATGAGGCGGCAGCAGCTGCAGCAGATGCAACAGCAGCAGCAGCAGATACAACAGCAGCAGCAGATACAACAGCAGCAGCAGCAGCAAATACAACAACAACAGCAGCAGCAGATGCAACAGCAGCAGCAGCAGCAGATGCAACAACAACAGCAGCAGCAGATGCAGCAGCAGCAGCAGCAGCAGCAGCAGATGCAACAACAGCAGCAGCAGCAGATGCAACAGCAGATGCAACAGCAGCAGCACATGCAGCAGCAGATGCAGCAGCAGCAGATGGGGATGAATCATGGTCAGTTCCAGCAGCCGCAGCCCCCCCAGGGGCAGGGATTCATGGGCCAGGGGCCCCCCGGAGGCCCACAGGGGCAGCAGGCGCAGGGTTACCCGGGGTCCGCCCTGCAGCAGAGGCTGCTGCTACAGCAGCAGCAGAACAGCATGGCTGCCCTCCAAAGCGGCGACGCGGGTCCAGGAGGCGGAGGTGTTGCTCAGCAACCGCCTCAAGGCCCGCAGCCTCCTCAGGGGGGGCCCACCCCTCCGTCTTCCCAGACGCTTTTCCAACAAACTCTGCCGCAGAGGCTGCTGCAGCAGCAGCAGCAGCAGCAGCACCTCGGCCCCGGCAGCTCGCCCGCCCAACACAGCAACCCCATGAGCCCCCAGCAGCCACCGCAGCAGATGGCGCCGTCGCCGCACCATCACCTGCAGGGCCCGGCGCTGCAGACGTCGCTCGCCAACCAGGTGCGCTCGCCGCAGCCCTCGCCGCGGCCGCAGTCCCAGCCGCCTCACTCCAGCCCGTCTCCGCGCATGCAGCCTCAGCCATCGCCGCATCACATCTCGCCGCAGGTGCAGACCGGTTCGCCGCACCCGGGCCACCTGAACCAGCACCACCCCGGGATGGTGGTCCCCCCGCCGCCGCAGCAGCAGCAGCAGCAGCAGCAGACAAGCCAGCAGCAGAACGCCATGGAGCAGTTTGGCTCCGACCAGAGCGCCATGCTCTCCCAGCTGAGCGGCATGGCCGGTCTGCACGGGCCGGCCGGCGCCGGCGGTCCCGACCCGATGGGCCAGAACATGAACCACAACTCCTTAGACCACATGTAGAGGCTCAGCGGATCTTTGCTCAAACTGCACTCACCAAGGACAGTATTATTATTATTCCTTAGCCTTTTTATTTTTTTTACTATTATTAAAAAGTTATTTAAAATGTTTTCAATAAAGATGCATTGAACTGAACTTCCTATGGGAGATGAACAATAAATGGAGCAGTTGTTAAATGAGTTAGAATGAATTGTAACTTATTGCTGTTAATATATATTTTTGCCAACTCGAGGACAAAGCTGGGTGCAGGGGGGTCGATTCCTTTGTAGACTAAAGTACTTGCCTTTTTTTCTTTTTATATGTTTTTACAATTTTAAAAGGAGGGTAAAGGTTAAAGAAGAAGTTATTTTAATGCAAGTATCTTGTTTCGTTTTGCGACTTTCGGTTTGTTTTTGTTTTTCTGCAGAGTCAAAACAAAGCTTTTTTTGTTGTTGTATCGTTTGGGTTTGTTTTATTTATTCGGTTTCATCAGAGGTGCGGACGTCCTGAGACCGCTTCACTTCCCGTACGCGTCTTGTTTTTTTTTTTTTAGTGTTTTTTTTTTTTTTTTTGGGTCGTCGATGTCGGAATAGCCTCTTGTTTCGCTTTAGCTGTTCCAGATGGGAACGACGTCAAGCGTCCGGGACCGGGATGTCGCGCTGGAAGAAACGTTTTTTTTTTTCTTTGAATATTTTCTTTTTTTTGTTTTCCTTCGCAGAAGTGCAGAGCCCTCTCCCTCGAATGTGTGCCCACTCCTTCCTTTTAAAGACTTCAGACGGAGCTGCGGAGGCTTGGGGAGGGGGGGATGCATACCTTTGTGCCTGTAACGTTTTACATATGTGGGCTGGGATGTATACAAATGGGAAGGGTGGCTTCTTCTCCTCCTTCTTTTTTTGTTTCTCTCTTTTTTTTAGGATTCTACTGTTAAGTAAACAGAGGATGATGATGATCCAAATGAACTGTGTTGCACAGAAACGAGGCGAAAGCCGGCAGGCGGTTAGTCTCTTTCTTCCTCTTCCCCTTTGCTGCTTCCTCTGGACTTTTGAAATCCTCTGATGGAGGTCGAGCTCCCTCCTTATATCCTCTTTGTCTTTCTGCTCAGAACTTTGGGAGTTAATTTAATATTTTTTACTGTACAAAGGAAACAAACTGTGGACTCAAATACTGTTTTTTTTTTTGTTTTGTTTTTTTTTATAATAAAATGAAAATTAGCAATACAGCTCTGTCCTGCACGTTTATTACCTAAAGCTTATAGGACGTCGAATCACGTTCATAAATATCTAATATCTTTGCTCGTTTGGCTTTTTTAGCAGTGAAATATTACAACGTATAATGGAATGTGATTTTTTTTTTATTTTTAATGTAATATCACAGTCTATTTTGTTTATGTTTGGGGGGTCCAAAGTGTGGCGCCTGGGCCACTTGTGGTCCTTGATGTGATTTTGTTCGGCCCATTCCCACATGTCACGAACTGTGAAAATTTGGTCAACAAAATACAGAAAACACAAGAAATTTTGGAATTACCTTTTTCTTTCAATAAGAACAGTCTGAAGCTCTTCTTTTTTTATTTATTTTTTTTGTCATTTGGATCCAGGAGCGCCCCAAATTTGCGGTACCGTTTCTCAAAAATTCCAAGTTTCCAGCCAATATCGAGTTATTACTATAGTGAAGAGAAATTGATCTGCGCTCTTTTAATTGACGGTAAATACATTTAAAGAACTGCGTACAATTAAAATAAGAAAAAAACTATCCAGGCAGAGATTTTAAATTTAGGACATACAGGGTTAAAGATATACAGCTTTAATTTTACTACGTACGTATTTTTGCGGCCTGCCACTGCTTTAAATTCAACGGTTTTGACAGTGCGTTTTTGAGGTCAAACACTGATGATGGCAGGAAGGTCTGCGCGCTCCAATTCCAGAAGGTTTTCTGCTGGGGTCACGTCAGGACTTCAGTTATCCGTGTCTCTTTGGTTCTTATTTTCTGCCTTCATGTCGGAAAAGAGAACTTCCCTAAAATGTTCCCCACAATCATCTGAAACATCTTGATGTCCTCCTGCAGTCAAAGATCTCATTTCACTGGAGCTAAGGAACCGGGCCCAAACGCCTGAAAAACAGCCATGTAATGTAATTTCCTGAGCACCAAACGCTCCACTTGTCAGGCAAGTGCCAATTTTCTGGGAACTGCCAAACCCCAACTTGTTTATTGGATCGCCTGACCGTCATGATTGTTTCATGACTGCAGAGAACACGTTTCCACTGCCACATCCAGCAATCTGGATCGCTCTCTGCTTGCTCTGTTTCCATTACAAAGGCTTCAATATTTCGCTCGTGTCGATTTTGCAATCGCCGTTTCCCTTTAATGAGAAATTAACACCCTAAGCTTGTTCAGGATAAGACATAAAAAATAAAAATAAAAAATCTTGGCTTTTAAACGTGAACTCTTGCGTGACACAAATTCATGTCAGCCATCAGAGGAGAGGTCGGGCGTTGGAGCAACAGGACTCATACTGGGGAGCGGCGCTTTGGGGAAACTAGATGTCGATTTTATGGAAGAGTAAACAATCCAACATGTTGGAATGACACGGCTCCACGTAGACATTGTCCGGAAAAACACAACAACAAAACCCCAGCATCCTCTTGCTACTTCCTGTCGTCTTCTTTGATGTCTGGGCCAGTAGAAACTTGGATTGACACACCCTTTCACAAGTACCTGGAGAAGCAGTCCGATTGGAAAGCCTGAAGTCAAGTATTTGGAGAGGTGAACTCAACTTCAACAGAACAGAGTGTGCACTGTCCTGTAGGTTTTTGAGTCAATGTTCTTTTGCACGTTGCAGATGAAACCACATGCCTTCTGTTCGGGCCAGGAAGAGCCCAGGTCAGCCCTTTCCGTTCCGACGTGGGTTGTGACGTGTTTGCGTCCCAAGTTTTAACTAACTTCTCCCCTCAGAGGAGAGAAAATTACAATTAACGACACAGAAAATTAGGCAATTTAACAATGACAAAAAGTATGCCTGAAGAAAGCTCCGTTTCACCCCAGAGTGGGCGACACGAAAACTTGGAGTGACCACAGAGCCATAAACTCTCCTGAAGGTCAACAGAATCACTGCTGCCTCTGGTTTCTGTTCTGCGCTGGCTGAACACAAAGTTCTCAACTAACAAGTGAGTTAGCTTCAGATATGAGAGATTACATCGTAGAAATGGAAAAAATATATATATTTATAGATAGTCATAGTAAATATGACTTAAAAGAAATTTGAGCTAGTAATTTAACGCCTTGTCTCTAAAAACTTTAGCTGAAACTCCGCCTTCAGAAAGCCATCACATGACTCTTTTCCATTCACCGTTCAGCAACATTTTTAGCAGCGTTGCACTGAGAAGCAGCTCGTATGGTGAGCTCAGCTGATGTGCTCATTATAGCTGTGCTAATTGCTGCTGGCTAGGCTGCAGGAGCTCTGTGAGCTCAGAACCCGGAGCTCTTTGAAGGCGGTTCTCAGTTTCAGCCAGGCGTTTCCCAGCTGATGGTCGCCCGGGGGAGATGAAATGATTTCTCAAACATACATGAAAGAATCATGGCAATCCTCTAAAGATGTTTTTTTTTTTTTGTGAGGGAATAACATTATGACATGTTTTAGTGCTAAAAAAGGGTCAGTTTTACATATTACTGGATCTCATTTTTAATAAAACAATGCAAACAGAGGGCAGTTTCTATTTTTTTTTAATTGCTTGATTGTTTTATGGTAAAAGTCAGCTTTGTTCTTACCCCAGCTATGATTAGCTTTAGCCTCCAGGTTAAGCTAATCCTTCATACAACACAAAAATCCTGAGACATATATGCCGTTTGGGAATAGTTCAGGTCCCGAGAAATAACTCAATATTATGTTGCATAGCTTGTTGAAATATGAGCAGCAGGTTTGTGGAGCAGCTGCTTGCAGGTTGGCTACGTTGCAGATAGCCTGACTAATTAACCAGCTAATATCTGTTGTGATTGTTGCATTGCAGTTTTGCCAGTGCTTCCAAGATGAATTTCTCCAATGGGAGACAAATAAAATGATCTTATCTTGTATCAGTTTGTTAGAGAGAATGGCAAAAAGGTATAATTGCATGCAATAAGGATACAAAGAGGAAGAACATAATGACACAAGGACAAGAAACAGACCCCAGAAGGAATTATGGGTAAACGAACAACAAGAAAAAAAGAGGGAATGGACAAAGGAAACAAGAAAAATAATAATCAAGGGGGGAAAAACAAGCACTCAAAGTAGAAACACAACTTTTAGCCAGTGGAAGAAAGAGTAAAGGCTGGGTAAAACAGCTTATTATTCTCTTAGTTTATTTTTCTCATCCACTTCCGAATTGCAACCAGATTCCTCACACTTCTGTTGATATTTTTACGTCTCCGATCCGTTCGCCTTGTGGATCCTCTGCTCCAGCAACAAAAGCAGCAGCAGCTGCAGCAGCAGCAGCAGCATACTCCCCCACCATGCAGTTATGAATCACATCTGGGGATCTGAAGGCAAGCAGCCGCTCTGCATTAGAGCACTCTGCCCTCTGGTGGTGGTTGTTAGCAATAGCGATTCCTAAAAGAAACTCTTCTCCTTTCCTGGCAGGTTCACTGGGATGTTTAGAGCTGTTTGAGCAGAACTTGACAAAAAGCCAACTGGGTTTCCACCGTTAGAACAAAACACAGAGCTTCTTAGTTTAGAGAAAATGGGCTTTTCGTTCCAAGTTTAGATTTCGAGCCTCTATGCTGTCACAGTGAGGGCTTTGAAGTTGGACTTTCCCCAAACCCGTCCGCGATAAATCATCCACCCAGACACGTTATTTTCATACACATTTATTGAAAATGCAGTCCAATAGAAATCTTTTTTTTTTTTTGTGACATAGAGAAGACATGTTTGATAATCCATCTTTGTTAGAGAGGGACAGATTCAGACACATCAAGAGACATAAATTAGTGCAGTTTATACAAGTGACATGCAATAAATAAGAGCTCGCTACAGTTTGACTCGAAAGTACATTTGCCTCCGTTTGCACATTACCTACTCAGAAGCGGCGTCTTGGATCGACGCCTCCTCTTTTGATGAGCACAAAAGCCGGTGAAAGGAGCGGACTATCAATTGGTAATACAAAAATAGACCCAGGCAGCATTTTCATACTTGGAAAGTCAAGGGACGAAAAGACAGCAAACGCGGCCGCGCGTTTCCTTGTCGTTCGTCCATTCCACCCCCCTCCCCCTCCTCGGACGCGCGGCGCCGTCTGCGTTTGGATCTCTCTTTTGTTACGGAAACAAACCCCTCCGACGAAAGCGCGGCAGAGAGCCGCGATGCGCGTGTGGCACAGACTGACGGGGCCATGCGGGTAGCTCTGTGCGAGAGATAGTGAGCGACATTTACAAAAAGAAAAGAAACAACAACAAAACATCGTTTTACTTTTTCTTCTTTTAAAAAAAGTCGACTGGAAGCAGGTTGCGGTGGGAACCTGCGTCCTGCTGGAAAGCACTGAGGACAACTGGAACGGTAGCTGCATCAGAGTTGTTCTGTAAACGGTTGTTTTCGGACGCACTTTCCTGCAGGAGGGTGAACCAAGCTGCTGCAAGAATGACCTCTGCCACCGACAAATCGGCTGGCCTGCAGTGCACCGTTTCCTGTCACACCTAATAAATGAGCCACTATAATAATAAAATCACCACTCACTTTTATTCCAAGGCAATGATGTCTTACTGAACTCATAAAATCATGTGGAATGACCTTACAGACACTATTTGCTTGCGGTATTTACTTCACCATGAGCGCCAGGTCTAACTATGATTATGCTGATCCCTCTCTCCGTGTTCCCCTCTCGCCGTTCAGCAGCCGTTGAAGAAGCCCTCGCTGCAGCTCGCCTCTTTGAAAGTCACCGTCAGGCAGTTTACAGTCACGTTCGTCACGATCACTTTCCCGGGCGCTTCCAAGGAAGCCTTCGGGCGGCCCGACGGCGTCACAATCACGCTCCGGTTGTCGCTCCTCGCTTCGTCTGCCTTCGGCTCGGAGTCGGAGGGGACGGAGTCGCCCGTCGTCTTGCCGCATCCCGGGACCCTCACTATCACTGAGGTCGCGTGCTTTTTCTCCACGGTTGGACTCTCCGAGAAGGCTTCCGCGCCTTCCTCCTCCACCCAGTCTGACCTGCCGCTTGGGGAAACCACGACTTCTGGTTTGGCCTCAGGCGCCGAGGTGTTGTCCTCAGATTTGTCGTGTGAATTTGTGTCTCTCTGGCTGGTTTCAAAGATCTCTACGTCCGCTTCGTCTGTCCACATGTCTGGGCTGGCAGCCTTTTCCTCCACCTCTATGTCCATGTCTTGCTCCTCTAAGAACGGAGGAGAGCTGCACTCTGACTGACCTGCGGGAGAAAGCAGGAAAACCATCGGCTACACACACAGACTCACTTCAGATGAATGTTGGATCAGATTAGAGCAACTTCATTGTCCCCAAAGGGGGGAATTACAGATTAAAGAATTACAATAGTAATAAACCACAACATTCATGTTGCCACATCAATCGGTCAACTCATTGGACCACTGACCGTACAAGCTGTCTTCACATCTCTCCTCAGTGGCGCTCTCACACCCGGGCTTGTCCTCCTCACTGGTGCCGCCCCAGTCCTTCTCCACCGGCTCCACTTTCATCTTCTGCTCATGGATCGGCTTGCTGGACGAGAGCTTGGGGAAGGCTTTGGTCACTCGCTGCCTGTTCCTCCTCCGGACGCGGCGCCGGCACGCCTGCTCCACGTCCGTGCTCATGGACCTGGTGAGGGACAGGCGCAGGCGCGGCGGCGGCTTCTCGTCGTCCTTGTGGGCGCTCCGGAGGTCCATGCCGAAAATGTTCTGAGGAAGATCAGCCAACGGTCAGCGATGATCGCTGGCGCACAGATCTCTCATGGGAATATTTTTTGCCGATCTGTCGTCATTTCGTTAACCAACAATCAGTGAGTTTAGAGAGCTCTCAGGAAGGAACTCAGACAATCAATCCGACGATTGCGATTAATTGTTGGTGATTGGTTGATTGGACTTCAGCTATTCTTTCATTTGTATTGTTGCATTGTGAATATTTAAGCAAATACTGAAATAATAAAGTAATAAAGTATACTTGTTTGGAAAAGTCTGACTACGCCTGAATACGAATAAATAAATAAATAAATAAAATATATTTGGCTCGGCAGCCTCTTAAAAACTTGTTTTATCTATGAAGGATGAAACAGCCTGATAGGCTCCACCATTCAACGCTTCACTTGTTTAAAGTTTGAACTTGCTTTAAACACCGAGCTGCTGCTTGCGCTCATGAAAGAAGAGCCAACAAATGTCTGAGGCCGAAGAAAGACGAGTGTCGTTACCCGCAGCACCAGCTTCCTGGGCCTGAGGCCTTTCTTCCGAAAGCTCAGAGACCTGAGCTTCTCCTGACTGCAAGAAGAGGAGATGCAGACGGGAGGGCGAGGTCAGAGGGAAGAAAGAAAACGAGAACCGAGCGAGAGCACATGAAGAGAAACCTAAAATGCTTCCGGCGTTACTCACTTCTCTTCGTAAGCCAGGACCAAGAGCGGGTCCAAAATGTTGTCCTCCGGCTCCCAAGTGCTGTACCTGCAGACAGGGAGACATTTAACGACCGTCTGTTCGTCAGTGATCCGAGCGAGCTCTGAAAAAGCTCTTAAGGATAACTGGAAGTGGTGAGGTCTGTGGATGACTCAAGGCTTACTCACTCTGGAGGCCATCCCTGCCATTTCAGTAGATACTCCACGTTTCCCTGAAGAGAGAAGAAGTCAGGAAGTGAGGGGAGGGACAGCAGTGAGTGAAATGCGTCCCTGACAATAAGGCAGCTGTCCCTTTAAACTGTGGACTGAGGAATCTATTGAAACATGTTCAAGACAACTGGGATCCACAAACAATTGAATGTGTAATTACATACTAATATGTGAAGCCCTTGTGAAAAAATGTGGATCAAATGTTGAAGGCATGTCATGACTTTCCCTATAACTTCTGTGCCACACAGTAATAATGCAATGAAACCTGATTGGTTAAGAGGCGCACATTACAGAGAATGAAGCTCTCTGTGATAACAAAAAAAATAAATAAATAAATAAAATAAAATCATGAAGTGATGATGAAACAATTACATTTTTGCTCATTTGTAAAATTTATATTTATTTCCTCAGTAAAATTCACGTATAATCGTCTATGATCAGATAGATTTAAATAATTTTTATTCCTGATTTATTAGAAGAATTTGTTTCCAATGTCATTTTAATCACGACAAAATAAATATGACCACTTTTTGCATTGGACAGCGATCATAAAAACAAAACAAAAAAAAACATGCTGAAATAACTGCAGCAACGCGTTTTTTTTTAACTACACCTGCAATTTCAATGGATTACTTTCTATATTTTTATTATCCAATGTTTATCCGATTCGTTTTCAACTGAATCGTGGAGCAACGCGGAGGGAGGGAAGGTTCGTGAAGTTTCTCTCGTTTTCCACGTTTTTTCTCGGGGGCTGACGTCATCCACGGCGGAGCTGCGTGGCCTCCGAACAGCAGCCAGTGGCGCTCGCGTCGCGATGACGTGCTCGCTCCACGAGCGCAGCGGGCGCTTTCTAGAACATTACACCGGTGGCTCGGATAGGTGGGGCCACGCGGGAACATGTAAACAAGCGATGTTGCGCAACGCTGACAGCGGAGCCTCGCTCGAAATGAAATGGTCAGAATAAATAAGTTGAGATGAAAGGCGAGCAAAGGCAGCGCGCGCGAGGGAGAGCGACGGACGCGCGGTCCTGTTTCACACTGTCGTAAAACTTTCAAGCGGCTCGCTTTATGTTACTTTTCTTGTGTCTTACGTTGTGAGCGTTAAGACGAGCGGAGAGCACCTGTAGCGCGGCGGGGTTAATACCAGTCAGTGCGGATTCACAGCAGCATCTCCGTCGTAACTGAATACGACCAGCGTCACGCGGCGCCCTGTGATGTTACAGCGTTTTCAGCCCGCGCGCCGCGCCGCGCCGCGCGACTAATATAAACTGCGCAGCAGCCTGCTCGCTGTCGGCTGCTCAAAACATACACACACACACCCCCCCCCATTTTTTTTTTTTTTTTCCCATTTTACTACAACTGCGTAGGCTCCCTCCCCCCCAAAACACGGCCATGCCGCAGCAGCTCAGCCGCCGCACAGGACGCCACTCGGAGGAAACTTTGGCGCAGTTGCATTAAAATGACGATGTAGTTGTGAGTGTTTTCTCCAGCTGCTGCCGCTGACGGCGCGAGGACAGCGGTGAGTCCGCTGAGAGGCATTAGCATAAAGCAGCAGGATAATTGTGTTACTCTGTTTCCACGCAGGAATGTTTCCTACCTTCCTGATTCTCTTCTTGGTGATGGACTCGACAGCGAACACTTGCTCTCCGATAGATGACAGCTCCATGCTTGTTTACTTCCCGACGCGCGGAAATAAAAGTAGTTTAGGCGGAGGGGAAGGAGGATGATAATAATAATAATAACGATGAAATAACAGAGCGCGAAGTGTTTCTCCCTCCGAGTTGTTGTCGTGTTGTTGTTGTTTTTTTCTGCAGCTGAGCTCCTGCGCCTCTCCTCGCTACGAAACTCCAGCCGCTCTCCTCTCCTGCCTCACTTTTTAAAATCTGCGACACATCGACGCTGGACAGCGCGCCGCTTTAACGCGGGCGCGCCCCCTTTTCTGTTGCGTAGAGGGCCAAGCCCCCAATGAGCGTGCCCGCGGAGGAGGCGGGAGCGCGCGGGAAATTGGAGCAGAGTGCAGAGGAGGGACAGAGGAAGAGGAGCGAGGAAGAGGAGGAGGAGGAAGAAGAGGAGGAGGAGGGTCGCACAGGCAAGGTTACCGAGGGATTAAAAAAAAGAGATATTCTAAAGACAAAATATTTTAATTTTAAGGCTTAATTTTAAATGTAGTTTCACTTAAAGATAATAATAATAATGAAAAAACAACAAAAACCTTTATGCATTTCTTTCCTCCCAGATATGTAGGCCCTGATCAAACTAAACATAACTTCTTTTCACAGTAAAAATGTGTAAAATAGTTTCAAATGATTAAATATTTTTTGCTGAGCCCATATAACCAGACACCTAAATCTTTTAATTAAGTTATTCTTTAATATGAAAAAAATCTGTTTTTGTAAATGTTAAATTATTTTTGCCGCAAACAAAAGAATTGACATAAAAGTAACTCGAGCATTTCTTAATTTATTCTTTACTTTTTTTTCCCTTTTTTTTTTAGCTTAAGCTGTTTTATGACCGTTTAGTCATTTTTGCGGAGTATAAATATGATGACGACTACAGAGAGGGGTTATGAGGGGTAACAGTTCAGCCCTATAAATATGCTGACTGCTTTAAAAATGACGCCACCATCAGAGATTTTGAGTTTTCCCAAAACTACTGGGATTATAAACCCATCTAATAAACAAAAGAATATGTGAAAAAGCACCCCACATCCAGTGACAAGCACAGAGGAGGATGTGTAATGCTGTGGGCCTGTTTCACTTCCAGCAGCTCTGGGAACCTTGAAAAATGGAAAATGGGTCATTACTAGGTGTTTAAACAGAATAACCAATATTTGCTTCACACAACTTTACCACGTGTTAACCTGCCGTGTGGCAAATGTGAAGATCAAGAGAAACAATGTCTTCATACACTGTATAGCATCCGTACCGAGGCCTATTTTGGGCTTCATGGTAAGAAGAGTCAATTTCACTTTGAGCGCCATAAATAAGCAGGATTATTTATGCGTCCTAATCCTTCAAAAACACAAAAGAAACAGATCGTATCCGTCCGGCTTCAAAGACCGATCGGTGAGCAACGTGAAGCAGCGCAGTTAAAACAGCGAACTCGCTGAACTCGTCAGCCAAACAGTGAGAGCTCATGTATTTTTATGTAACGCAAGTGAAGCCGGCAAAGATCAGAATCTGCAATGGAAATGACAGCACTGCCTCACTTCTTCTTCTTCTTCTTCTTCAGTGGAAATGCCGGCCTCACGCAAGCATGTTTGATCCAAATATGGAACAAAAACGGGTAAAGAAACAACAACCAAAAACTGACCAAAAGGCTCAAATATGTCCCACCGAGAGATAGGAAAACTGGAATTCAGGGTTGGTCCTGCTTTTTCAACTTGATACCTGATTGTAACTCATCCGGTTTCCTGGGTAGAATCATGTAAAGTAAGAGCCGGAGTGAGGCTCCCTGTTGACTCCCGCTGGGGGGTTTTTGTGGCTCGTTTCACGTGAAAACCTCCCCGTCACTCGCGGACATGCACGCGGTTCGCACTCGCTGCCGATGGCTCACGGTCTCCTCTGCACCTGGAAAACTCGCATCACTTACGGGCACCGGATGTCATGGTAACTGTTGTTATGGAGACTGCAGAAAGAGGAGGGTGACGCAGCAGGAAGAGCCGCCGCAACAGCTGAGGGATGAAAACAGCTTTATTGACCTCTGACCCCGCCCCCTAAATCGGATCTGCAGCGGCTCAGTCAAGACGTTTCCATCTGAACAGCTGATGCTTCCAGGGAAACAAACGAGAGATACTAATAATTGTCTTCAAACTGGCAGCTTCTGGTTGCCTTCCTCATGGTAAAAAAAATAAAATAAAGCTCTTGCACCACAGTTTGCAACCTAAAGACAAGCCTGCTGACCTCACCATGACATCACCAGTCATTCTGGAAACACACCGCAGGGATCAAGAGGAACTTTACTCATGTCTTTGCAGCCGAAGTTGGCAATTAGAAACTCAAGAGTCCAAATATCAACATGCCGCCTTGAGACAACTGCGTTCATTTTTTACGTTTTCATTTTTTTAAACATCTCCCGGTAGGCAGTGTGGCACTCAATGGGAGAGGCCCAACAGATTTGGTGTGTATGAAACATTGCTAGACGTCGCTTTGGGTTCATTTCAAATGCAATTGGACGCAGAGATGGAAAAAAAGGAGAAAAGAAAGGGAGGAGAGGAGAGGTGCTTTTCTCGAGTCGAGAACGAAGCACAGAGATAACAGAAGTCAGCGCCGATGAAGCCTGCCTCAGAAAGAGAGAAAACCGAGACCACATCTGACAAACACCTGAATCTGTGTGTTTTAATTTCCTTTAGCAAGTTTCAGGCAATCTCAGCATTTTTTTTTTTTTAATCCCAAGAAAACCTTCTGGCTTAATTTTAGCTGGTTATTTGACCTCCCTGCTCTTCAGAAAGGCAGAACTCATGAAAACTGGTCGCTAAGTAGCTATACAGTCCAGAAGCTTAATATTAACTTGCTTTATTAATTTCAAAGCCCATTTCGGTGTGAGCGCGCAGTCCGATTTTGAACACCAAGCTGGCAATTTTCAATCACATTACCTCTTAATAATATCAGAGTCCAGGAACCACCAGATGCAATTACGCCTGCTTTAAATTAACTAACCCTGTTTTAAGGCCGACTGTCGTAAAAAGATTGGAGCGTATTTGGAGAACCTGGTGAGGCTCTAACACCACAACAAGCCTCCAAGCACAGAGGTGACAGCATCATGCTGAGGGCCTTTTGAGCTGCACAGGTTGGTTTGCACGAGAAAGGCAAAGCACAACCAGCGAGTTCACAGAAACATGACGGGAGACAACGTTCCCAGACGTTCATCAGCGCTGGTTTGGGAATAAATACGTCATCAGGAAAGGTCTGGGCCCGAGATTCATTAAAGAATAAAATGTGAAAGAAAATCTGGAAATTCAAATGAAAACCACCATTTACGATATGAAGAGTGCTCAGATTTCCACCAGGAAACCAAAAAAGCAATTAGCAGGAACATTTATCTGAATATGATGAGTGCACAAGCAGTTTTGATTCTAAGTTATTTAAAAAATAAATAAATAAAAGTATCGACTTCATCGTGAGGGAACGAGCTCCAGCATCTTCAAAATCACGATATTCAGCGTCTTAAACGATAAAAACCGGTTCGGTGACGTCAAAGAGGGGAAAAAAGGAGAGGAAATGATTCCAGAAAATTCCTATTGGGACTTGCGGGAATGTCGCTGCACCCTGATGTGTTTGTTTTGTTTTTGTTTTTTCCTTGTCCGTCCTCACCCTGCAGGGACGCAGCGCCTTTTGCTTCCCGTAAGTGGGAAGAGCAACAACACGACCCACGTGACTCGCTATCTGCCTGGATACTCCGGTGATCGCGGAGTTGTAGGAGCGGAAGGGAAAAAAAGGAAAAAAAAAAAAAAAAAAACAACACGGACTCCCAGCCCACGTTATGAGTCACGCGTGAGTCATCAAACGTGCCAGGAAAGGCATCGCTGCAGATTCTCTGGAAAAGCAGCACAACTGCAGAGAGCTGTAAAACATTGCAGCCTCTCTCTGTCGGGAATCTTTTCTTTTTTTTAACATCCCTTCCCTTTCTTTTCCTTTCTTTTTCATTTGTTTTGTCCCCCGCTCTGATTCCCGCGGGGTTTCCACGGAAAGTGGATCTCCGATTAAGTGAGGGGAGGGGATCGTTTCTGGGAAATTTGCAGCTCCACTTAAATCCGCGGACAGTTTTAGTTTAGTTTAGTTGTAGGTTTTATGTGACGGTATTCAACCATGGCGGTTATCGCGGCATCCAAAACCGACAATAAGATCGAAACAAAAAGCAAAACAACAACAAAACCGTCTTTTAGCATCAACGTTCAAACTTTGCCACTGCTACAATGGGGTCTGGACTTTGACTGGGCCACTCTCGTTTGAGTTTTTGTTGTATGTTTAGTGCGGCTGCGCGTGTGGAAAAGTTGATGTCTGACTGGTAGATTTACAATTATCATCACTATTTGATGTCTGGTGGGATGAGATGCAGGCATCCCTCAAGAATAATAAATAATATATATGTCATTTTTTTTAACAATTCTAATTAAAAATGGCACTGAGCATTTTTAAATAAATAGAGAGAGAAAAAACATACATATTTTTGCATGTCAAGTATCTGGTTTCAGTGAGAGTAATTACTTTTTTTTGTGTTTTTTTTTTTTTTTTTGCAGGGAAGTCCAAAAACGTGAACTCAGGTACCGAATCGGGGTCAAGAAGTTTGCCCAAGTGCTGACAGAAAATCCCGGGCTTTCCCTCCCCCCAAAGTTTCACTGACCGAACAGCAAAAACCAAAAGCGAAAGGCAAAGCACCGCAGACTCAAAACAAAACCCAGCTCCTCCAAAAAGCGAAGCCCCAGCCAGAAATGTTTATTATCATCAACCAGGTTTAACATAAAAAAAACAATAAAAACATGCAGAGCTTTGTGTTCCTTTGTGTTTTAATAAACGCTCCACGCATCAGCAAAAATAACACGACAGTGAAATACGTCTCCTCTTTAAATTATTGCAAGTAAAACTCAGCATCTTAAATAAACTATATCTAATAATTGCACCTTCAGACAGTTTTGTTAGAGACTCTTCTCCGTGGCTGGATGTGGGGAAGGACTGATCCGATCCAAGGCCAGCGGAGAAAAACCAACAATTAACTTGTTGAGCATATTCCGAGTTGCCGTGGTAACAAACACCTACAAGTTTTTAAAAGTAGTCCAGCGCGGCGCCGGGCCTCTCTCTGGATGTTTCCCTCCGGCAGTAAAAGAGCCTCGACTTAACAGTCTGACTTTAGCGAAACGGGCTTAAATTCCCCTTCTCGAA